CAGGAGTTGGATGGTAGTCTGCCGCCTTATTGAGCTTGCATGTAAGGAGCCCCCCCCCCACCCCTTTTTTTTTTTTTTTTTTTCTTTTTTTCCTTTTTTTTCTTTTTTCGTTTTCCTCCTCTAGCATGCCCTCCCCAAGCTATTTTTTCCCTGCCATGTTGCAACGAAGTCATGTCACGTTCAAAGCGCGGGGCTTTTCATTTTCCCCGCATAACTGGCGGGTGATGAAGGCACGGGCTTTTTGTACAGGATGCCTTTCGCATTTCGTTGGGCACTTTCTGATCCCGTCTAATTACCTACTTCTGCTTTCCTTTGGCGCTTATAAAAAGAAAAGCTTACTTCCCAGCAACGAGGTCAAGTCAAGTATATGTATGGTAATCGAGTAGGTAGATTTCAATTAGATGTCTAATTTGCCAACGCAAATGATAGTTACGATTTTGGTTTCCACGGAAGCATACCTATAGCAGATTTTTGTTCATGGTCTGTGTTATTACTGGATTATTGTGCGAAAGTTGGCCAGGATCGCCCGGCGAAGGGAGTGGAAGTGGGTTCGGGCGCGGTGGATGCGGTAGTGTGGCATGGCAGTATTTCGCAGAATTTATAGAAAATCCTGGTATCCAAGGATAGTTATAGATATGTCTGTAAACTTCTTTGAATGCTTGACATTGTTTCCTAGAGATAATTTATATTGAAATCACTGAATAGGTAATTTCGAAAAGTGACAATGGTAAGCGACGTTACTTCATAAATTCGTGACCGTGTTCCCTGGAATGATTTCCAGAATATGCAAATTGACCAACCGATTACCACAAAGTCTTCCGACAACGAGTGACGATCGAATCATCCATCCATCCATCCATCCATCCATATATATATACAAATCAGCATGTCCTCATGGACGCGGCAATCCGGAAAAAAAAAACATTAAAGAAAAAAATAAAGCACAGTTTCACTAAGATCATCCGTTATAATCCTATGTCCGATACCTGAAACCTCTGGCATGGAAATCTGTGAGTTCTTCCTCTTCCTCCTCCCCCGAAGTTGGGTTAATCTTATTCGCCATGCCGCTTTCATTTTCCACCGCTGGCACACGCTCCTTCTCATCGCGCTTCCGATTAAGACAATTTAGGTAAAACCTGAGCGCGAGTGCGCTTACCACTACTAGCGAGTAGCAAACGAGAATAGCGCGGAAGGCCGTTGGGTAATGGGGAGCCTCTGCTGATATGAAGAATTGGGGACCCGCACTGGAGGAATTTTGCTTAGCTAGTGAAAAGAGAATTGGGAAAGGGAAAAGGGGGGGAACACCAATGGACCGAAGCTGGGGGGATGTCCAATGGTAGTTGCTAAGTTCGCTTCTCTTGTCTGGGCTTATAACAAACACGGAGGAGGCGCAAGACTCACATATTTCCAGCACAATAGGCTACGAATAAAATAGCTGTCATGGTCATTTTCTTCGTTGAGCCCTTGTAGTTGACTGCTACCAGCGACATGGCGAGAGGTAGTGCTGCTGGCCCTGGTGACATGAGATAGTATCCAAATAATTTGACGCCCTTGCTGACGTTTGAGTAGATAATCGCACTCCCCGCGACTGGGAATGCAACGATTCCACAGATAAGATACGTCGCCACATTGGGGTATTTGCTACAGAACCAGCCGCTGTATCCAGCAGGATTAGACAGCGATTTGCAAGGAAGGTTGGACAAGTGAGGATAGGACAACAGGGAGACGGCTCAGCTTACGTTATGAGAACTGTGGAAATGCACAGGACAGATGCTGGGGTGATAATTAGAGTGGTTTCCAGGGGCGAAAAGCCAAAGCCCTTGAGGACCAGGTTGCCAAAGTTTTGGGTTCCACCGTTGGGTATCTGTCACGCCAAAGATTAATATTTCTCGATTTTTTCTTTGAGAAGGATGGCCATGCGGGTTTCTGAAGTTCACATACTTGGGTCAAGACCGAAATACTAAGAAATAGGAAGGTTTTAGGATCCATGAGGCATTCGATCACTTGTTCCCGTTTCCACTCGTGTCGGATCTTTCCCGTGCCGGCAAACTCCACACGATGCTCCGCATAGATCTTTTCTCTTTCATTCAGGAAATCGCATGTAGCGATTGTGTCTGGGAGGAGGAAAAGCAAGAAAAACCCCCAAAGGAAGGTAGCCACGCCGAGAACCTGGAAAGTAACGCAGTCAATGACAGGTAAGGAGTTGAATCCATCGACTTGCTGTACAGTTCAGTATGTGGGGCAGGGAACGTACAATGAATAACCACTGCCACGCTGCAAGAGGCCTCTTTATATGACCGATGCCAAAAGCCACGAAGTTTGATAGCAGTCCACCGAGGGAGTTCCCCGCAAACCATACTCCACAGCGCGCAGGAATCTCCTCACGCGTCCACCACATCGACGTGACAAAGACGAATGCCGGCGAAATTGTTGCCTCTGCAACCCCCAGTAGGAAACGGACACCCATTAATCCGCCGAAGTTTGAGCAAGCCGCGGTCAACGCGACAACGGCGCCCCAGAAAAACGTATTCGCAGATACATACTTGCCCACAGGTAACTGTTGGATCAGGATAGATGTGGGAAAAGTCCAGAACAGGTATCCGAAGTAAAACACGCTGGAAATCCAGCTGTACTGGGACCCGACAAGATGCTATTCCGTCAGTTAGAAGAGAGTGAACCAACGTTCAGGGGTAGATAGCGCGGGGTCTATGGCGATGCTCACAGTGTCTTCCCGAAGCCCAAAAACCGATGCGCTAGATAGAATGACCTTGTCCATAAAGTTGAAATTGTACGTCACAAATAGCAGTGGGAGAATGCGCCGGTCGATTTTGCGAACCACATCCTCCGCGAGCTGCATTTCGGAAACGTGTCTACCACCACCCCGCACTGCCCCTCGTTCTAGGAGTGAGGAGCTATCCTTTGCCCATGCCGTAGGAACTGAATCGGCTCTGGCACTGGCCATGTTTTGCTGAGAAGTGGTTTCAAGAGGAGCTCAGAACCTCATTTCGTGGAAGGTGTATCTTGACAGGAAGTAACAGCATTTCGTGTGGGAAAAAGCAGAGCAGGAAGAAAGTTGCGCGCAGGACAGCCTTAAAAAAGCACCTAGAACAAAGAATACAACAAACAAACACCGTTACACCTGAGATGTGCGTGGTATTTAGGGAAAACAAGGTCGAGCGTCTCTGCTGCAGGTATCCACGGTTGTGAAAGGAGCGTCCCTTGCAAGCGCGGATTTATGTCAAGACTAAAGCCGGTGGATCGCGGGTGCGGTCCGACGGTGGTGTTGGAGCAGCAGGCTCAGGTTGGTTGGGCGTCGTGTCTCATGTCTGATGGCGGGATATTGGGTGTCACAAACCGTGCAGATCGTCTGCATTGTGGAGGCCAAATCTGCAGGCCTGGGTGCGGTTGAAAAGATCCCGTCCGCCAGCCATCGGGGACTTTGTGAATCCGAACCAGGGGGTGTTGGAGACAAAATCAGGATCGCGGGGCGGGGTGCCACTTGCAATAGTCAAATGATGTTTACAGCTTTATATAGCGAGGAATCTGCTGCTAGCTACTGCATGGCTCTGGTTAAGTTGTATGTCTGGATTACATACGAAATATGAGCTATTCTGATGCAGTGATACTCTTCACCCTTTGTTGGAAGCTCAAATGGCAAACGTGATGGTTGTCGAGCTTACTAGTCCAAGCGCTAACATGCTGATGGGCGTCTATGGCGTATTTAGTCAAATATTGATGGTTATGCTTCAAGCGCCACTGTCACAGGAGGTGCCGAATGAGAGGAGATCAGATTCGCCAACATAGGAGATTTCCTGGAATCGATATAAAAATATCTAGTTGGGGGCTGAAACTGGCCAACACAAACAAAATGATGTTTAAAACCTCTCACAAAGCCCTTGCTATACTCCAGCGGCATGCCAGTATATGCTTGTCTGTATCTCTTTCTAATTTTGAGAAAGAGAAAATAATGAACCCAAATGATGTCAGGAAAGAGAATGGAAATTAAAATTGACAGCGGCCCTCTGGGTTAAGAATATGTACAAAAAAAACGTAGGAGGGCCTTGTTTTTGGATCGTTTTGATCATTCGCCTCTCTATGCTCTATTTTTATAACGATCCGAGGTAAGCCAGCGAAGGAAAAAATTAAAATCCGGAACACCTGTCAAATTAGTATAAAAATCATGAGCGACCGCGTAATATCATTAAAAGGCGTGGCAAGGAGAGAGCAACAATGGAAGTGGAAGCGATATGGGAAAACAAGCCACCGATGTTCTGTTATATAGAGGGATGGGGATGTATAAATATACGACAGGAGAGGAGGGGGCTGGTGGCGAGGCAGAATACCCAAACGACTCTCCGCGCGTCAAAAATCCGCTGGAGTTCTTTTTAACTTTTGTAAGCAAGCCAAAATAAAATATAAACTAAAAATGGAAAGATGATAATGACATGGGTAAAAACCACCAAGCCTCATAACAAAGTCTCTTCATCATCGGATTTATAGTGATCGGCGCTGTCATGATCGACGAACCCAGCAGCCTCGAGTTTATTGGCTTTGATCCCGAAACTTAGCAGGAAACCGAGGAACGCAACACCACCGAAAACACCAAAGGCCATTGCCTCGCCTTTGGGTTCGATTCGTGTTGCGAGGGTGAAGAGACTACCTGATAGAAATGGGCCTACGGCCCGTCCTAAGGCAGATAGAGTCTGGGCAAGCCCATTTAGAGAGCCTAAGGCATGAGTGTTCGTGACAGAGTTGGTGATCTGTAAAGGGCAGAGGAGTGTAAGTGTTAGTACGAAAAAAAAAAACCCCAATGGTGGGATCTATTTGATCAAAGGAAAAAGAGGTTCGCAATAGTTTACCAAGAGAAGAGCGCTGGTCAGGCCACCAACGGCGGCTACTGTTTTCACCAGCAGAACCACACATAATTCAATCGCGAGAAGGATTGTGCTCTTGGAGATTCCCCCCCCTGTCGCAGTATCGTCCTTGTACCCGACAAATGGCATCAAGATAAATGAAATAACGAATCCGAGCAGGCTGGCTCGATATGACCATTTGTTGCCCATCTTGTCTCGAAGTCTCCCAAATATACAAATCTGGAACGCAATCGACACAATGCTTGCAAAGGCGAGTGAGAGTCCGATTTCGCCAGGGCTGAGTTCGCGACCCGTCGGCAGTGCTGCTTGACCGAAGATGGGATAAAGAGAGTTGAACGCGACATTAGTTAATGCGAATATCAAATAGGTAATGAGTAAGAGGACCGTGTCTCTATTGAAGATTTCATCCCGTTCGAGCCCGCTGGAGTTATTTGGTAGATGGAATAGCCCAGTGTTTGGTGTCGCGGAAGAGGAATCGATATCGGCATCGGTTTCCTCGCCTGACACCGAGGAATAGCTCTGTTGTTCTGCGCTCGGGCTGTGGTGTTGGTGATTGGGACGGGGTGTTTGTAGGTATGTCGGTCTTGAAGAGCTGGTAAATTGCCAAAGCCATGTGAACAACTCGCGCATTTTCTTCTCTAGTTTAGGAAGCGTGGTCGAGTTTTCAAGACTTTCCTGCAAGAATAGAGATGCTAAGGTGAAGTCTAGCGTTAGGATGACAGCTGAGACGATGTTGGGGGTCAAATAAGGATAGTTTTCGTTCATTTGGCTAGACTTCGAAACAAGGAGGCCACCAATTATTGGACCAGTAACCCCTCCAATCCCATAAATCACTGGTAAGTATGTAAAAGCGCGAGATTGGTTAGAGCGATCAGTAATCTCGCCCAAACAAGTAGAGACGACACCCTGGTTTCCATTGACTATTCCCAACAGCGCCTGAACAACGATGGCCTGCCAAAGCGTCTTGCAAAACCCAAAGGCTAGAAAGCAGCCGGCGCTAAGAATCGTCCCCAAGAGAATCACCGGTTTTCTACCAATGCGATCCGATACCCAGCCCCAGAAGAAGTTCGTTGCAAACTGCGCCAGCGCAAATGCAGATGCGATTACACCCACATACATCCCTACCTGGCCATGGCTCACATTCGGAAACGAAGCTGTCATGTGTGGGATATAGGGGCTTATGGAGTTGAAAGCGGTCTGTTCGCAGAGTGCAATGACCGCGAGGATAGCCATTTGTTCGGTAGGAAGAGGAGATTCAGTGACGGAAGATTCTGCTTCGCCATTGGAACTCGATAAAGTTGACTCGCTTGATAAGGGCCGCCCTCGGGATTTGGGCGGAGGAGTCGAGAAGGTGTGGTATGTTTGTGCTGACATGCGTCGGCGGCGCGTTGGATTCGGAGTCGAGGGCATGGTGTCTTGAGGTCAGCGTCGTCGAGATGACAAAGAAATGGCAAGGCGGTATAGGGCTACTTCTTTTCCCTCGGTCTCCACTTAATGGCCTTCTTGTCCCTTTGGCCTTCCGGCAAGGGCCAACCGTCTCGGAACCAACGTTGCAATGTTTTTCGGCGCCCTGATCAGCTATTCGGTATTGCGTGGGGTTGGTGCTGATCGTTGTAAGTCTTGATCTGGAGGCATTCCGACTTGGGCCTGATCTACAGGGTCATGACCTAGCGCAAGACGGCAGACCGGTTACGGCTTCACCAGCGCAGGGAAAGGAAGAAACGAGCATGTGTTGGATGGTGGTGGTCGTTGTCCAGGTTTTTGAATGTTCGGATAAAGAATTCTGGATGCGCTAAAATGCTTAGTGATGACTTATCTGATAAGATGTCAGACCCCACACAGGGAAGAAATTCGAGGCGAATTCCTCCAGAGTGCGGAAATGCTGGAGAATTCCATGCTGAAAGCGTGCCTTTGAGTTTGCTACACAAGACTTGATGTCGCTGTTGTTGAAATCTCGGGATGAGATAATATATTATTGAGAGCCTTTTCACTGCCCAGCAGAGGGGAGTGCATTAGTTAGTTTGAAAGATTAAATAACTATGAAACTTATGAATCGTTAACTACTAACTAATAGTCAACGAGTTTGATATGAGAAATGATGTGCACACTGAAAACAGCCTAATGAAATGCAAATCTTTTCTGCAGTCCCAGCTATGCAGACTGAAATATGTTTGGTGGCCTTATCGGCTCAATACGACATGTTTCGAAATGTCAGCTAGCTATATCGATAAGATGCCGGGATATCCTTCGCCGGCGACAAAACTATCGAGGACAAATATCTCCTCCTAATGCTGACATACAGGCTTGGGTCAGGAGTACATAGATACTAGTAGTTGTGGAAACGGAAGAAAACCACCCTCGATCGCCACACAAAAAAAGGTGACAAATACTGGCTCCTTAGGGGAGAGGGAAGCAATCTCGGATCTTTGTGTTTCTTTGAGTTTGTAATAGACCTTTCGTTCCTTGCGCAGCAGTCAGGGAACAACGGCCAAGCCGTCGTTAAGACGTGAAGCTGAAGGCGTTTATCTTTCATCGTGAATGAAATAAGCATCATATAAGCACTTCGCAGCGGTGGAGCACGGTGAATTCCAAATATCGATATGCCGTCTCGTAAGCAGCGATGCTCGAGACAGCGACTTACGAAATGCTTGCTGCTCGTCATGACTGGCTGGTAAGAGTGGAAGCTAGTTCGCTGGCACTCCGGCATTTTGACCTCGTTCTCAGCCCTACCGTCAATCGTCAATCGCGACGTTGGGCTCTCCAAGTCCGAGACTCCGGCACTCCGGTGTTCTAGCCTGTTGGGGTCTGGTATGCTGTCGATGTTGAAGGAATTTTGGCTTCCTGGAGGCTAAAATGGAGGCTATAATGGAGGCTAAGCGAGCCTCAACATCCATTCGAGACTCCACTCTCACAACCAACCTCCCGCAACTCCCCATCACTGCCATTGTTATTTGGCATTTCACAACGGTTGAAAGATGGATCAATCATGCGTGGGCCCAGTTAGCTCAGACTAGTTACGCTATGTCTGCTGTTTCACCGCCGCCCAGCATTACAATGACGGAAATCAACGGCAATCAACTCTGTGGTTTGGCAGTAACTTTTGAGTTTTCTACAGTTTCTTGAATACAAGGTACCATTCTTCCAACACCATTCCAACACCAAATCTCGCATAATACCAAGCGCATGAGAAACTATCATAGCTGCTCGGGAATGTTCAAATTATTATACGCTCCTTCAGCCTCTTAAGGCATGTTGCATCCGACGATCCTATGCTCCCGGAGCTTCTGCCAACCCACATAAACTCCGGACTACTCTTCAGACTTAATCATGCAGTGCGGAATGTTGCTGATGAAGAAAATAGTTCAGCCGGAAGAATGGCTATTGGAATAGTAGATGAAGCGGAACAATGTTACCGCCCTCAATTCGACCTTCTATTTGTCGTCAAGGCTTGCCACCCGCAAATGCAATCACGCTATTCACAATTTAGACGGGATGGCACTTGGAAATAACCTGGGTATTACTTTGACAAAGCACATATTGTCTGGTGCTAAGTCCACAGAGAGCACTAGTTGGGCTATATAATGAAGTCCCTATCCTGAGTGCTGGTTCTATGTCCCTTATTTCGGTCACCAGAAAGACATAGGAAACGATCGTGATATCCGTCCTGTTGTTTTATTCAGCCTACTTACTATTCCTCCTTTTGCTTTCGCCTTGGTTTGGACGATATCCCCCTTTGGCTTCTCCCTCAGCTCAAACCTTCGGAATGCAATATAATAAAGAGCAGCTCATCAGCGCATTGCGCACTCATCGCATAAATACCATCACCGAATTGCGCAGCGCAGAAAGAGTTCTTACCCAACGGGATCATGTGGAAGTCACCGACCCACTGTCCGACGCCTGGGTGTACTACGTCAACTCAAACAACCTCCTCAGCGAGTTGAGATTCCTCACGAGAAACTATCCTTTTAGTTCTGAGTGTCTTGACGAAGCCAAAGCCCTAACGGTTAGCGATCCTCAAAGCGCGCGGAGCTGGAACTACTGTTGGCTTGTTCTTTCCAAATTGCAGGAACAGTAGGCTGCCTTTACCTGGAACATTCCCCCGTTCAAAACAAAAAAGAATAGAACTAATGGCACGGGACACGAAAAAGACAATTAATCCCTAAGCACGCCAGGGACATTGCGACAAACCCAGCGATGTGGGGAGGAAAGACTCCGTCCCTGACAGAGATCGAGCAGCTTTCAGATGCATGCACCGTGGAGTGGACCAAGGCCGCTCAGCAAATGTTACGACACTGGGAGCGTCCTCCTATAAAATCGGATGAATAGGTTTCGTCTGGGAACAAAACAGCCGCGATCGCTCACCAGAATGCGCCTTCCGTACCCGAGATGAATAGATAGGCTTTTTTTGTAAGAAACTTTCTGTTGTGTAGTGCTCAGATAGTGCTAGTTTATCTTTCCCGCATCCAGAAACATGTATCAATACATTAGATTCCAATGAGTTTGCTGAAACCTAAAAGAACTAAGAGTACATATGGATTCTTTCAACACAATAGTCCCGAACCTCATGACAGATGCGATCTTTTGCAGTTGAATAAAGATACAAGAAGCAAACATTGTAAAGTATTTTAAACAGGATCGTCCGACTTAACCATCTTCCATATTCTCGACTTATGCCGCCTGTTATGATTGCTGTTGAAACTTCTTTGGTTTCCGGATGAACTCTACCATTAACTCCAGCACATTGGTGAAACAAAATAAGATCAAAGTCACTCGGGTCCATCATTTCTCCAGACGTGGAAGCAATCGATCTACCCACCATGCCCGAAATCGCTTTCTTAGATGGCCCCTTCGCCTTCGTCCTCTTCGCTTCTGGCCTCCATCATTGCCCGCACAATGTACCAACCTTCTTCACGATCCTCATCGTTATAAATTGTCAAGCAAAACGAACGGAGAAAATGAAATTCCCCTCCGTAGTGTTTTTTCAACCAAGCTTTTTCCTCCGGTGTATATTGTGGACATCGACTCCCACGAGCCGCAACAGTTTCGGCTTGGTAACTTTGCCATTTTTTCTTCTCAGATTCGGGCCAGCGGACGCTGAGCAAGTACATCACATCTTCCCTGAAGCCGGTGGCGCCTAGCGGTGGGCCATATGGAGGGCCACATGGCCTGACTTGCAGAAATTGAAACTTCGCATCGAAGTATGCGACACGATATCCATCCGATTTCTTGATCGAGCCTTTTGAACGCCCATGCGCCTCCCTACCACCAAAAGAGACATTATAATCAAAATCCAGCGGAAACCCTAGAATATTGCAGACGATGGAGGGACAACGTAGGACGTTTTTAAGGTGCAAGACGGCTCGAGAATCCTGGCCGGTTTGGTTCGGCGAGCGTTTCGTGGAGAGTTCGACAGTACCAATCCCAAGGACAGGCATGCCCTTATTCGATATGCCGTACGCATCGAGAAGCTCCGACTCGAAAGGAATATACTCGGAGAACCATGCTCGGTCCTTGGCGACACTGAGCGCTAGTCAGCGGGACGCGTGTGCATCAAGTGCGCTGAAGCCCTGCCAAAGACACGGCACTTACTGGACATTAGAAACGTTGGAGTACACCCAGTCTGGGCAACACAAAACATATCTCCCATCGACTGGAGTGGACCCCATCTTCGAAGCTGTGCACCTCGATTAAATATGGAAACAGCTGAAGGGGGAATGTTAAGCTCAAGATTTGTCCCAGAAGGGAAATTTTCAGCGCCCAGGGGTGACCGGGGTTGATTTAAGGTTGTGGAGTCCCTCCAGTAAAGTTTAGCTAATGTTGGATTTATGCTTACTTGATGGGATCTACTGTCCCAACTGGGAATATCTATATCCTCCATGGCTGTATTCGAGGCAGCCGTAATCTTTAAAACGTTGATGTTTACCAACAAGGGATCCCAGCTGACGCCCTGGCTAAACGCTAAACTTCCCGCTAGACACGGTGCATAGTTAGTCTCGATAATCCTGGAAATGTTACCTCTCAATACAACTCCATCAGTAGGTACGTGGCTAGGGGAATACAGCTTACGTAGAATTTTTCATACAAACCGCAAAAATTCAACATTCGATTGACGTGAAATAACTAAATTTGAAATTGTAAATACCGTATTCGAGCGGCAGGTTCGCTTTCCAGCCAGGTTTACTCGGGAAGAGAGAAAATTTTGCAATCACGCATACGGGATGGTCCTGAACAAAGTATGAAACGTGTCTGGGAGGCAAAAGGTTTTTATTTCATCAGAAGCCCCACTGCCCAAGGAACGCTCAAGCCCCTTAAATCACCATAATGTTGCCCAATACCGAGAAAAACAATTGGGATTCCAGTGGCATGCACCATACTGACAAGCGCACCAACCATGTCCCCCACCGTGTCACATTTGCTCATGATAAATCCATCAAGTTTTCTCCCGGTACCAAAAGCTTGGTTGAAGTTTCGAGCTTGCATGACACTGTCAGTACCAACAAGAGCCTCGCCCACCATGAATATTTTATCCGGTTGCGCAAACTTCGCAAATTTTTCCAAGGAAGACATGAGGCGCTGATCGTTGTGTCGGCGGCCAGCTGTGTCGATAAGGACAACGTCAAAGTTATTCACGGCAGCGTAGGCCACCGCGTCTTTGGCTACATTGGCTGCATCCTTACCGTAGCCCTTTTCATATAACTCCACTTGTCCAACGTTCTCCCGAGCGCTTAATTCTTTAAGGTTGCGCGCATGCACGCGAAGCTGTTCGACTGCTCCGGAGCGGAAGGTGTCGCAAGCCGCGATAAGGACACGGTAGTTATTCTGGAGTAAGAAAAAGCAGATTTTGCTTAGATTGGTGGATTTTCCAACACCGTTTACTCCAACAATAGAAATGACATATGGGCGGCGCTGTTTTTGCGAATTCGATGGTGATGTGACAGCTTCGATCTCCCGGAGAAGATCCAATGAGGAGGTGGGCGTGAGGATTTTCCGGAGCGACGATTCCATTGCGGCTCGAAGAGCGGCGTCAATACTCTGAAAGCTTCCGGTCTTTTTCCCAATAAGCTCCTGTTCAACACCATCACATAAGCGAACAGCCGCTTCACGGGCAACATTTTTTTTCAATAAGTGTTCCTCCATGGCCTTGAGGGGTTTGTCTAAGTCTGCCTTGGTCAAGACTTTTCCACCAACAATATTTCGGAAAAGGCCACTAATAGCACCCAAACTAGAGCCCACAACACCGTTGGACATACTAGCCCTGTCCTTAGCGGCATCTGCATCTTGAAGAATGGAGTGGACTTCATCACCTAGATCCTTCAACACAAATTGGCCCTTTTTAGTCTTCGTCCCCCACGAATCCTGATCAACTGCCTCTACTGGAGGGCCAGCTACTTCCTCTGATTCTGAACCATTTACATTGGAAGCGGAATAATCCAGGATTTCGCCATTATCTTCGTCCGCAAAGCCCTCCGAGTCCCATTTGCGCATTTTCTTCACTGCCGACTTCGCATTCTTTGCTTTCTTAATTGTATCTTCGCCTGACGAAACATTTGCACTTGAATTTGCAGCTTTTCGTGCGCGTCGTGAAGTCCGACCACCTGGACCAGCTTTCGCAGTAATGATATGGTTCGGTGTGGCCGGCCTCGATGTCTCTGGAGTTTGGGAAGGTGAACTCTCATTCGAGTTCGCCACGGCCCGCGCAGCATGGCGCTGCGCTGGAACACAATTAGCACGTACGAATATAAATGGTGGTACGGAAAGAAAACCCACCAGGGAGAAGACCAGGGATTGGAGGTGGGGGAGGGCCTCCGTTATCCGCCTCAACAAGGGTATCCTTCTTCTCCTCAATCAACAAAGAAGGCGAGCCCTCAACTGCTTTTCCAGCAGCAGATTCCAACTCTTTTACTTGCTGATCAAAGTACTTGTCAAATCGGTACTCGATTATTCTAGAATTTGGTTTCTTAAGCTGCTCGTTGTATATTTCCACAAAGATAGTTTTGATATTCTCGAGCAATTCGTCAATCCAGGTTAAATGAAGAAGAGACTGATAAACAGCCTGGAGTGGGTCTCATCAAACTTCGTATTAGCTTTTGCCCAACGTAGGATTATAAATTTAGATAGAACGTATGCATGTACCACGAAGATCAAACCCAGATCCTTTGCCCGTTTCCACTTCAACGTATATTTTTCCTTCCTGTATCTTGGCGCAACAGTGCCCGAGCCGGCCTCTTGCTGGAACTTCTCCTCAATAAACACATCGTTGATCAAGCTGTTGATAACATGGGCCCCCACTGGAGCATATGATCGTGACCAAAGGACCACCCCGGAGGAGGTTATTATTTCAAAGGAGTCGAGCATGGCGGCTGCCCGTAAACCGGCGGTAACTAACGAGAACGAATGAGGTATTCAGTCGCATGAACGGGTTGTGTAGAGACCAAGAAGTAGTAATCGCCGTTCGACTATCTATTTTACTGTCCTTTCGCAAGTGTGGAGCAGCTGAAGTGCAACATGGCGGGAAACGAAAGGATGCCGCAACGCACAGACCAATATTACATCAGCGAGCACATAAACCACCTCGAGCACTTTTGGCGATGACGGCAATATCAAACATGGACATGTCAGGATAATATCCACTTTTCCGCAACGCTCGCGCTGACTTTTTACCTTTTATCTTTTGTCCCTGGCGATACCCAAGCTTCCTGCTCGATTCCGACGCCTTCATTGCACGAACCCATCCGTTTGATGTTTCACTAACTCATCGTTGGGGACACCGTTGCTCTTCGACCTCGATGCGAAATTCCTCCGACTCATAATCCCACTATGCAACGCACTCCCTTTGCTCCTGCGCCTGCTCAGTCTCCCCCTCTTCATCATCCAGTGCCCCAACATGTGTCTACTGTCCCGATGATGCGGTCTCCGCCACCGCCAGCTCCGCAGCATTCTCAGTCCTCTAGCTATGGTAACCCATACCAACCTGCCACTGCTCAAGGGGGCAGTGGCACATTTGCACCTGGCTTTGGCGGCTTCATTTCAGATCCCACAGCGCAAATGGGTTTCCAGGTTGGCAAGAGTGCTGTTATGGCAGGGCAGGAATATGTGGAACAAAATGTAGGACTGTTCTGCTAAGAGTTCATGAAGTTTAGTCTCATTTGTGATTTCCGTGTCTGTCATACTCATCCTTCAATATAATAGTTAAACCGTTATATCTCGATCCCAGCCTTAAAACACTATTTCAACGTTTCGAACTCATATGTACTCAATAAAACCATGCTCGTCCTTTTCCCATGGCGACATAAACCGTGGTCTCGCCAACAGGCACGGTTAAATGCTGTGCAGTCTAGTGCAAATGGCCAAATCGCGCAAGCGCAATACACCTCAATATACTTGCCTCCCCGAGACGATCTTAATTCGCCAGATATGTACATCCCTGCTATGGCGTTGGTGACCTATATTATTTTGTCTACTGCTCTAGCAGGGCTGCGCGGCGTCTTCCACCCTGAACTATTAGGCTCAATTACCACGACTGCGCTCGCAGTAGTCATTTTTGAAATCCTTTGTTTGAAAATTGCAATGTACATTCTCAGCATTAGCAATGATTCCCAACTCCTGGACTTGGTCGCGTATTCTGGCTATAAATTTGTGGGCATCATTGTCACACTCGTCTCATCAGAAGTTCTCACTCCAGGTCAAGGCACCGGTAGCTGGGTTGGCTGGACCGCATTTACCTATACATTCCTTGCCAATGCGTTCTTCCTCGTAAGTTCCCGTGTTTAATTAAAATTGGCTGCATTATCTGTCTCTCTACTAACCTACCATATTAAAAAGCTTCGATCTCTGAAGTACGTCCTCTTACCGGATTCCTCTAGTGACTCCCCGATGCGTGGAGGCACTATGACTACTGTTGCGCGCTCACAGCGCAATCGACGCACGCAATTTCTATTCATCTACTCGTACATCGTTCAATTTATTTTCATGTGGATTCTCAGCCGAGCAGACCCAGTTGCGTCGGCTGTGGTATCTAAAGTTGAAGGGGCTAGCAAGGGGCCTTAAGAATATATATATATAACTTCTCCACGTCCAATTGTCGGCAAGATATGGCAGCGAAGAAAACGAATATCAAGAGAATCTCTCTCCTCCTTCCGCTAGGGCTAATCCCAGTGCTGCTGTTTGTCAGATTTGCCTTCCATCTTTGGGAGCGATAGTTGATAATGGGGACCATTTCTTTCGTTCTTTATTCCTTGCGCTACGACATGTTCATTTTACACCTCTTTGTTTCCCTATCGTTGTGTTCATATTTGATTATTGCTATCAACTTTGGGGTTTCTACTATTATGAAATTGTGATTGGTTTTGTCCACCTCTATACATATTTTCTTGGTCCCGGCTAAATTTTACGAAAGGCGTTCGCATATAAGATATTTCAACATGGGAAATGGCAAAATTAATGGTTTTAGTGTTCCTCCTTCTCTCCTTTGGCTTTTTCATCATAGATCATGTTTCGCGCGAAGATAGCCAGCGAAAAAGCCTCTTGTATTCCTGATAGAAAATACTACCACAGAGTTCTTCAGAAAACGTCTTTACTTTAAAACTTCGATGGTCGGACAAGGAATTAATTGTTTTTCAAGGTCATTTTAATATCATCAATTAATGAATGCGTTTGGGACAGCGCAGGGAATAAAGAAAAGTCAAACCCATGAACAACAGCTACATAAAGATGCATGCCCATGAAACGTCCTTGCAGCAATACCATTCTGAAGCCTTCACACAGGGTCAAGTTTTAAGTGCAAAAAGTGGTATCAGAGATAGCCTCGCTTTCAACTGCCTTGCCAACCAATCCCTGAAGAATATAAACAAATTTGATAATATAAAGGGATACTTCTAATAAAGCCCAAGTGGAGAAATGCAGAATTAGTTTTATATCTTCTTAAGTTTGTTGAGTGCCCAGACAAATCAGGTGGCTTGCCTATGGATGCCTAAGACCTTGACATCCCAAGGTGCAAGAATCTACAAGGACATCCGAACAAGGACGGCAGAGGCTGCTTTGCCAAAAAAACACACCGTTACCGTCTAAAGTCAATGGCATTCCTGCCAACGGTCGAGCGGTACCGTTTGTTAACATCTTCGAGAATGTGGCGAGACAAATGCGAATCGAAAGAACGAAACCATTGCCGGATTTTGGAGTATGGAACAGTTTGAATATGTTTCAACCACAGGTATTCTTTTAGATATTCCAATGCATCGTCCAAATCTTGAGTGACGCGAGTGTGCTCTTGAGCTATAAACTCAACCTGACGACAGAAGATATAGCTCCATGGCGGAGCCATGACAGTGAGACCACCGTGGCGATAGATGATGGCATTCTGGAGGATCGCCTTGTCAGTCAAGCGCCTCCCCATCTCTTGTGAGAAACATGGATCTAATAAGAAGCCGGTATCTTGAAGCCCCAGCTGCTTCACGGCTTCGTGGACTGCATCGCTGAGTACGACCGCGGCATCGCTTGCGAGCCTGTAGTTGAAAAAGGTAACTTCATCAGTCGTATCGAAGATATCAAGATGGACAATATCCACAACATCCGTGGAAGCTATTATGGTGATATTCACGTTTCTCTGGGAAAGGTAGTCAGCAATGATGCGGAAGGCGTCTAGCAATTTTCTCTTTGATAAACGTGGCGGGCCTCGGGTATTTGTCGCTGCGGATGTGTTCCGCCGTGAAATGGACCTGCGCGATGGAGGAAGTAGACTGTATGGGGGCAGCCGCGCCGAGGTATATGGTGGCAGGGTTTCCCTTTCAGAATCGGGGGGTGGACACGATTGACTCGTCTGCGGGTTAACCGTAGAGGAGAAAGTTGACCCCATTGCAATAATTGTGGTGGAGTGAAAAGGACCTTTTCTTCGTCGGCTGTTCCGCTAGGTAATAGGGAGTCCCTTTATGGTAATCCAAAATTTTTCTGTCGGGGATAATGAAAGACGATGTCGAAGGCTTTAACGAAGGCCCCCTTTATATATCATTCATAACATCTTGTCGCACCCCTTCGCTTCCTACCCCAACTCACAGGTCAGAAATGGAAGCTTAATATGTTTGCAGGATTTGTCGTATTGCCAACGGATCAATCCGACTCGCGGAAGACTGAGCACGTTGCTCTCAAGATACCATGTCGGCATTCTTCTTCCATCGTCACAGAATCCAATGACCATCGCCCCATTGACAACCCATTGGAAATACGAGATGCTCTCAGGAACAACGATGAAGAAAAAACATTCGTAAAGCAAATGGATTATTTGCTAACTGTTCCATTGCATAATGCCATACGACCAAATGGCCTCGGAAGTGTATCAAACTCCACTTGTTCGACGCCGTTTGCAGAACAGGTGTGACCAACGGCAAAAACTGAAGGTTCGCTTGTAGCCGCCATAGCTTGTGCAGGGAAAATCCACGGCAATATGATACTGGGTCCGAATATACTCTTGGACACACGTAGGATATTTAGTTTCTTTGTAGACACCTACATTATTGATAGTACCGGAGAGCCCAACTACCAGGTTGCGAGGCCAGAAGGACTCACATAGAGCTTCAGGTCTCTATCACGAAATTGTTTTGAAGACAATAACGTCAACCGATCAAAAATCCTGCGTGTGATGGGTGAGGAAATCCATATGCATTACCGAGGTTGACAGTATGATTGCCAGCAATGGCAACTTCATATTGATAGAGCCGAAGATCGACCCGGTTACCAACTGCAAACCACCAGGCTAGACCTAGTAGCGATGAATCCTGTAGATGCAGATGCCAGCAATGGTTAACAAAGGTTTTGCGGCTGGTGCTGAGAATTCCGGTGCAATTTGTAGAAGCTTTTTTGAAAAAGGATAGAGTCAAACGAAGCATTCCACAGCGACTCAGGATATAAGCGGCTTGATGAAAAGAAATAGAAATTTTGAGTCCAAGTGCTGTAGCAAGTGGGCCAAATACCTTTTGAGAGCTCTGAGCATGGCCAACAAGAGTTATGAGTTTACTCGTTGGCAACGGAGTGGGCTCTAAGTGGGCGCTAACAGGTTGGCAGGGTTGGTTTGTATCAAGAAGCAAAATCCACGCTCCGTTACAAATTGTTCAAGGTTCCGAGTCTTGACGCTAATATGAGCTGTGTTTTCAGTTACTACGGTTTAGCCCATCTCCAGGGATAAATATCTTGGTTATTGAGTGAAAACTCACACTTCCAGATTATCAGCAAACAGGGCCCAAGAGAGAGAGTCATCTGATTTTCAGTTGATCAGATAGTGTTGGGAATAAAATATGCTGTTAAAAATATTTTAGGATCAGTGACTTCGTTTTAAGGATTGACCCTTCGGTGTAACTAGGGCTTATCACATCGTGCAAATTCTCAATGGAGAACGATTATTGTTCTCAGTACCCTTAGATTTAAGTTCGTAGCAAACTGCTAAAGGTTGGGGAGAAACGGGATAGTTGTGCGTTCTATTCCAATTCAAAACATGTCTCAAGCTCTCTTAATAACTCCGTTCCAGATATGTTTATATAAGGCATACATATGCCCAAAAATATATGATTCCTCAGTAACACCCCTCACATCATCCAAAGAGAAGAAGCTCCACCAAACCAACACTCCGGGTTTCCCATTGGCATCAAATGCTCCATACCAGAAAAATAAACAAGAAAGCGTATAGAAGGAGAAGAAGACCAGCAACAATGGAATGGTTACAAGAAAAGGAGGCTAAAAAAGAGGCTGAAAAGAGGCGGAAAAATGAAAAATAAAAACAAGTTACAAGGTGCTTGTCGCATATCGGTCAACAAGTACATCATCATAATACCACTGCAAACTTGCTGATTGGACCGTATGGGCAAAGTGATGCATATCCGCCGGTGGTGGCAGTGGATGTGTCGATATCTGTGACCATGCGAATGGGTCCATTACCATTTCCGGGCCGCATGAGCTTGAGGTAACCGGAGGCCCAGCTAGTATATTCCCAAGTTGTTCACTAGCAATTGCGGCCGCTGTCATCATTCCTGCGCTTGCTGATGGTACCCAAGATGTTGCCTGATGCGCTCTCCGCTGCGGCTGTTGCGGCTGCTGCTGTTGGATAGGGGTAGGAGTGTTTGAGTAGAGGTCGTCATCGACAGTAGCATCCCTTTGCAACTTTTGATGCAACGATCTAACTATCTGTGACCCCTTGGCAGCAATCGGAGAGTGATGGGCCATCCCATTCAGGAAATTTAAGCCCTCCAAGAAGGCAGTATGGGTTGAACCTTCAAGGTCGGAGTTTTCGGTAAAGGTTGGAAGTCCCTGGCGTGACAAGCGAACATACGCTCGCCTATTCCTTCGGAGACCCCTGACACACAAGCCGAGGACAACAGATGCCTCCAGTGCAATGAGGTTGACCAGAAAATACTTTTTGCAACCGCCAAGTAGCATATCTGCAAATCTCATCGCTGATCGTATAGTATTCATGGTATATTCGATAAGTTTCCTTTGAAGTCTGAAGGCTGCCTTTTGCTCCTTGATTGATGGTAGGTTGGTGAAGTTTGGCTCGTGTAACAACCCAGTAAAAGAACGATGGGCCGTAGCGAAAGCACCAATGATTATTATATGGAGCTCTTCACGCTTTAAGGGAATACTAGGGAGAATGGTGTCGAATTGTTTATCGAAATCTGAGAGGCTGTAGGCCTGTGGGAGTGTAGATATGATTTCGGTTTCAATGCTTTCAGCAATGGCTGATACCGCAGCTGGGCCTGGGACCCTAGGCTGTTGTTCTTCAGTTGTTTTTCGAGAATTGAGCATTTTCGTGAGTCGCATTTGAATAATTCTATTGGTGAAAGGGGTGGGAGCACCAGGCACAGTTGGTGTGGCAGGCAGTGCATCCCGAGGAAGTTTGACGTGGCAATACACGTCCGGGATGAGAGACCAATGCCCCTGAAGAATGGACATCAACCTACGAATAAAATTAGCTTAAATTCATATCAAATTCTACGATTTGATGGGGTAAATCGGGTAACTTGGAGCGCACTGTTCATACTTATCCCACATGTAGATAGTGCCGAAAATTCGCTTCCTCATTTCCATTTCAAACTCAGAAACTTTGACCCGTGGATGCTCCAAATGGAGTTCGAGTATGTGTGCTTCTTTGACAACATCTGCAAGGACAATCCAGCTTTCCCTTAGGTTTGACTCATTGGTGAGAAATGACGCATTGAAGAACATATGTTGTATCGTTGTTAATGAAGTATGCCTTGGCCGAAAAGAATCGAGAATGCTAGCAGCATTTTGACACCGGGTCTCCAGATCATTTAAGCTGCATTGGAATGTTCTTTCATGGGGATAATTTGGATGGGGGAGTAGTTGTATACTACACAGACAGAGCCTGAGAATCAAAAGACCAAACTGAATGTCTTCGCTGTCTTGGTAGGCTTGTTGCAACCACCAAGAAGTATACTTTTCCATAAATGTTGGAGGATAAATCATTTCATATATCCAATTTACCTCCTGTAAGAAGTATTGAATAAGGAAGTCAACAACATGCCTTTCTGGAAACAGGTCAAGCACAGCCTCCTGACTTCGCCGTGGGTCATTAGGTGTGCAGCCTGCATCAGATTGATCAAAGAAAAGGCTATCCAAAGGCCTGTAAAGGTTTACTCCGTCAGTCGTATTAAAACTACATATGTCGCACAGTAACAAAGTAAACTAGGGAACATACGATGTTCCCAAAACCTCCCTGGCTAGATGGCTAGCACTTCCGGCCACGTAGCCAAGACTCTCCAGGATTTCCGAGTCGGTTTGTTCCACATAGTCATCTGCGATATCGGTTAGAAAACATGATCAAATGAAACAAACCGTGTTTTGACGAACTTGGAGGTGAAAGCTCGCCAGGACCTTTACTCGCAGACGGAGTACATCTTTTAACGGTATGATCATAGCGACAAAGATGAGCTCTTGAGCCAGCGCAGTTATTGCATGGCCAATTTCTATTACACTGGGAATTGGTGAGCACTGTTTTAAGAATTTGCAATGTAAAAGGTTGCGGTAGAGAGAAGAGATTGAGTATGCAACATACTTTTTGCTTCCTTCGACTGCATTCAGAACACGAGCGTACTAGTCTCCTCCGACTACCCTTCCGCGCAGGGGTCTCTGGACACTGGGATCTCCGCATCCTGGAGCTTGTGTTTACTATCGTTGTCTTCAACGAGAAAGCAGGAATCGCCATTTAAATATAAGACTTGGGAAATCATATAAGCATATAACGATCGTAAGACAAGCCCCCTTTCCCATTTTAAAAACCATGACTTAGGACTGCCAAACAATACGTAGCGTAAGGGTCTGTTTAATAGCCTTGTTTTTACCAGGAGTCAAGGACTAGCGGGACCGGTAGCATCACTAAAAATATCGCCCAAGCAGTTAGTATTAGCCTTAAATTAGTTAAATGCTTGGCATAATTGGAGCTGGGACCTCCTGGACAACAAGCCCGCTAGTGCTATTTCGAGAAACACTGGTGCCGGCGCCGGGCGATGTTCATCATGGGATTCTAATATTCCGCTGTTCCGAAAATGTTCGGGCGAGGGCGTGTAGGGCTCGTTGAAGTCCAGTCATAAGCCCATTGAAATGCAGGGAAACTCTAATAATTTTCCTTCCTATTAATCTGATAGACGCACGGTGATCTTTGCTGTGGGAAACCACATTTATGAGTTGTCTCCAACGGAAGTACAGGAGGTGCCGCTATCCCTGCAGCCCGTTCCTAGTGTGGTATTGCAAGCTAACTGGAAGGTCAAGATGCACGACGGATCTGCCAACATCAAAAAGGGTTTATGGTTAAACTGAGGTAATAGGCGGACAGACATACTATTTTTGGACCGGCTGAAGTAAATTGGGAATAAAGGCTCTTTACTCAGGGTATTGAGCTAACCGGGACCGCTCTGTGCGCTCAGAACGCCTCAAGTAAGCGGGAGTATCAACTTTTTCGTTCCTTTCGTTGTCACAGAATGACCATGTCTTTGATCATTTTCCTCTCCTCAAGCTCAATTGATGACTGCACGGAAATGGAACATTACGTGGATAACCTTTTCTTTTTCTTTTCTGTTTTCCCCCCCTCTTCCCAAGACATATCGATTTTCCCTTTCGGGACACCGACTACCCAACGACGTCAAACAATCCACGCGTTCTAGTGCTCCAGCAATGACTGGAACTGAGGCAAAAAGATGCGATACGTCAAGGACATGCGGTTCCAAGAGACGGCTGTTTTTCAAAGGGTAATGCGTATAAAATGCTTGATGCATAACGCAGGCCCCACTAATCGAGCGGGTGCTCCCTAGAAAGGTGGGGGAAATTACTGCGTTTCTTGAACTTTGGAACCTCGGATCGTTCGAGAAGAACTCCCGGCCAACCCCGCTAGCATCTAGCTTCGCGATAAGGCCTTGATTAATCGGCCGATCTCGAAGGTGGAGAGTTTCGGAAACTTGTCAAGGGAAATCTGCAAGACTTTTGATCAAGGCGCCGATCAATGGTCAATCCGAAGCCCCAATCGGTCGCCTATACTCCGTAGGCATTAGCATGAGAGATGGCGAACTGGTCAAGATCTCGTTCCCTGCGATTCCTGGATACCAGGAGCTAATTAAAATGTAGGCCCCGAATGCCAAGTTTCCAAGGTCTAATAGGTTTCAGGAGCCAAGAAGTCAACTATGTAGATCAAATGTGTTTGTTAACCCCGACGTAGATCGCATCGATCTCGCTGGCCATGGATTTAACGTATATCCATATCCCCTGGATGTGTAAGTACCATCCCATAGGTTCCCGGCTGCGATATCCTTAACAGGGACCTAGTTAGGAGGTAGTGTCATCTTCCGAGCAGTTATTTTGCAGTTTGTGAGTTTCCCCAGTTTGGGATAAAGCCACACAATATCCCAACGAGGACGGATGTGCTTCGACCCGGGGGGCGCAGAAACGGAAGAAAGTGTTGACGGCTCGGAATCGGAAGGTGTTGCAAGGTTAAACCCATAGGCATCCTATAGTGCCGATCGCAGGTAAACCACACCATTTCAGAGTTCACAATAATAGGAACGATATTTGATTCCATATAGACGTTGACGCTGCGGCATGACATCCGTGGAGAACGCCCGAATGTAGGCCAGAATTGCATCCGAGTAAGTACACCGGGAATCCCCTGGCCACGAAGACCCCTGGAAGCCGCTAAACTCAAAATTAGCGGCCTTGATAAGGCAGCAAACACGCTAGCAGTAAAGAATCCCAAGGTTACATACTGGCGGAAACTTATTTTTTTTTTTTTTTTTTCATTTACAGGTATTATTCAAGGCTGAGAAGTGAAAAAAAAAATTCGAGCAAATTATTGATCGACAAGGCCACGAGAGCGCTAGTAGTTTCTTGGCCTTTCATGGTATGCAAAAGGCTTCTTTGGCGGGGAACTCCGATAATGGCCACATAACCAGGACACTAGAGAAAAGGATTTGGCGCATATGATCTATCATGCTACGTGAGGAATCAGCAAGGTTGTTGTTGTTGTTGCCGGCTGAATGCTTCCAAGCTTTGTCCCGGGGAAGGACAAACGGGAAAACAAAAGAAATGAAAAGAACATTTCTAGCGTATTCTTCGGTGTTGACGTTTTAGCTTCTGTACCAACACACAAAAGTAAATTCCCGTTCGGGGATATCCACACGCCTTGGGGAGACAACCCCCTTCGAAACCTCTGGTTCGCTACTGCGTATCTTAACACCCATGAGCATTTGGGATTTCAAAGAGTAATGTTATCATTCTTGTCGTCCATTCTGCATGCGTGGGTGGATGTGAGTATGGCATCTTCCAGGGTGGCCCGGTAGGAATTCAGCATAATGTCTGTTTCTATATCGTGAGCCCTGCGAAGCAACTGGAGAAGCTTCAGGCGGGAATCACGCCTCCAAAATGGAACATCAGATTCACTTGGACTTCGGGGGATCTTTTGCAAGATCAGCATCTTGGTTAAAGATCAGCACTGGTGCGAGGCCCAATTTTCTTATCTCCTCATTCTTAAGGGAAAAAAAAAGGAATGAAAAGACAAGCGATAAAGGAAGATAGTGAAAATTAGTTGACGGATTCATTATTTGACATCCGTGGATGGGACCAGTTGTTCTTAACGTCAGCTAGCTAGGGCCTATGTCAGCGGGCGATATAAAACCTGGAGGCGTTGGAGAGCATACAGGACTCGCATTTCAGTGATCAGCCCTCAGCAGCCATCTCACCGCTTCACCAGCGTGAATTCCACGGAGGACTCCGAAGAATGTAAAATTCAAGGCTTTGGGAATCCACGTGCATGGAGGACTCCTCGAAACAATCGGAAGCATGATATCCGGACCTGGGGAAATGCTGTGTCACATCAAAACGCGATGGAAGCTCATGTTTCCGTCCCGAAACCGCGTGCGGCGACACGCGGAGTTGTCACGCCGCCACTTGGGACTACGGCTGTGATGGGATCGGATCGCCGCAGTGGCTGGTTATCACCGCGAATCGATTCTAAAAACAAATATGGGTATAATTTCGACGAATGGGCACTATTTCGCCCAACCGCCATGACCCGTTCCCCCGCTGTTCGGGAGCATACAGCGAGAGAAGTTAGAACATATCTTGGATGCCTAACGGTTTGCGATCCTGCGATGGGATCCTGTTTGGGACGAGGCGCGGCGGAGGAGTCGTTAGAAGACGTGTAGCTTGTATCTTTAGGGGACCTCGATCTCGAGTCGCAACTCTCACATGACACCCGGAACCCGACCAAGCCGACCGACGGAGCCTGCTTGCAAGACGAATACGTACCTGTAGCTGTCATCTCATTGACGTCCGGCACGAGGAATAAAAACAGAATAAACCCCAGGATATGGACTTGACTTGGTGTTGAAGTTTTAGAAACAAAAAAGACTTCAGCGCTCTGCGGGAGCTTGCCATCTTAAATATACCCGCCGTGGGTTCCTCGTATTGAGTTCCTCGAGAGGGATCCTAGGAAATGGATACGACAGAATCGCATAAACGAAGCTTAATTGCTGATCGCGAGCCCTACTCGAGGCAACCTTCGCCTCATCCCGCAGAAGACCCATTTTCTTTCGCGAGTTTGGTCACCGGTTGGGATGGTTTTCAAGGCCAAGCTCGATATCCCACTGGTCTGCGGCCGTTAACTCTCCAATAAAATGGAACCTCGAATTATCCAGGATCTAAGCGAGTACTTTGCTAACCGCGATACACAGGAACGCGGCATAAGATTGGCGAAAACCGTTTCTTGATCTTCAATCTATGCGACTCCCTAAAACGATCAACGTTGCATAATGGGAACGGCCGCCAGCACACCCTTCAGTGGAATCATCCAGGAAATAAATGTACTGGAACACCTGGGCCGTATTGGAGCCTGAGCACCGAGACTCAACGGGAGACAATCTTTGTCAATCCTGCTGGTCCGTAAACATGAGCAAAATGGTTACCTGTATGCAATGTGCAGCCTACGTAATACATTCTAGGCCTTTTCAAGGGAGCAGCAGCGACAATCCTGTGAACACGCGAGCGTGCGGCCTGTCTGGCAATAGCCATTCATTTGAATGTGCCGACGTTAATTTTATTCTCTTATACGATTGATTGATTACCATCCCAAGTGGATATATAGTACATAAGAGAAAATTTAAAATATACACCAGTCGTTCACTATGCACATACCTGCGACACTTAAGAACACCGATTCTGTAAGTATAAATTTATCGATAAGTATTTTTATTGTCTAGATTCACTTTCTCTAATTACCAAGAAGAAAATATACAGAAAACTACTACTACATGAAAGCTTTTCTTGTTAATTTAATTTACGATAGAATTTGTCGAAGGGGTGTGTGGGGCAGAGCACCTGGAGGAACCTGGCAAATCAAGGCCCACAAGAAGCCAGTACAATACCAGAACTTCTACAGATCTGTACTCCGTTCTGTGGCCACTACCTCTTTGCATTTCATGCTGACAATCCGTTAGAGGATAACTTTCCCTTCAGGAAGTCTTTTGCAGTACCGCTGGGTCTGGAGGGTTCCGGAAGCCGCGGGTCCTAGAAAATGGGGTTGCGATTAGAAAAACAAGGTTCGGGTTTGAAGGAGGTAAATCCGCCCCTGGTCTCAAATATTCTCTCTCCCTTACACAGGGCCATCCCTGGGAATTTTTGCAAATACCCAGATAGCACGGGCCTGTTGTTCTAGCATAATAGCCCAGCATTACCACCGGGGGAAGGATGCCATTGCAAAAACCTTCTCTGCTAGTTCTGAAGTCAGATATTTTTGGATGCAAAACTGGACGGCTTCCCCGTTCTGACGCGGTCAATGGGCCCCTAGTTGCCCTATTCTGTGACGGGTGGTCAACGTTGGTCACAATATGGTAGTATACCAACAAGCAACCCGGGGCGAGCTTGCGTCTGAAGGTTGTTGAGCCCGATTGGGCGGTGAGCGTGACCATATTTACCGGAGGACTGCTCTCCGCGCGCTGCCTTGAGAGTACAACCTGGGGAAGTACTACCGGAGAATCTGGTTAGGGCGACGAGACAACATAGATGTGCCACACGAAAGATGTTAAGCCTTTCCCATCAGTTTGCATTCATCGAGTTTAGCGTCGCTTCGTGGTGAAATCGGTCTTCAACTTGTCAGTGGTTCAAGAATTCTCTTATGATTGAGGATGAGAATTTCCGCAGTTTTTTGTTGAGATTAGGGGAGAAAGGCAGGCCAAAAGACAAACTGGGGTTTACCGCCAAATTCCTTTTGATCTCTTGCTTTTCCTTGCTTTTTATATTTTATATTCTCGTTTTTTCTCACGGGAGGATTGTTTATTCACAATGATTGAGAGATTATCCACATAACCCCTGATGCTTTGGCCATATCTTGAAATTTGGACACTAGACTGGAATAGGAATAGTGCAGCCTGAGACTGACATCACCTTCACTTCAACACACTTTCGAATCCAGTTTTTTACCAGTTTCCAGCTGTTCGACAAAGCAACCCGGCTTCAAGCGGAGGATGGCAATCGAAGAAGCTACTCCTGTCCTGTCAGACAGAAACACGCTGCTTCCTCGGTCAGCTTTGGCATTCAACAGCCAGGGTTACCAGGGCAGCTGGGGTGCTTACCATCTGGCAAACTATGCAAGACTATATCTCGATGCCGATGTCTGGCCACTGCATGCTATTATATTAGCTGCTTTGAGCAGAGTCTTTGCGCCTAAGACGGAGCTGGCCAAATAATTGATTCGGATCCGAGCCCGCCTTTGAGGTGGAGAGACACCATATATAAACAAGGATAGAGCTGCAATCACTATCGATGGTACTGAGAACATTTGCGTTCGACAAGGCTGAAGCTAAGGAATGCAAAAGAAATGAGATAAATAAGGAATGTCAATCTGACCTACCCGGCCACTTTCGGGGCTTTCATCCAGATTTGACACCAATACCTCAAGTGAATTCAGACGACGTCAAATTATTCAAACAGGGAGGTGTTCACTCATCTAGGGATACCTTCCCTCTAAATAGATACTTGTCATGGACGAGCCAAATTTAAACTCGAGGGTACACGCCAAGCAAGTCCAAAACTCTTACAGAAAAATCAGTGACTTACACCACTGCTTGAATATCGCCACAAGTTAAAACTTGTAGACGCTTCAATTTGTCCATGTTGCTTGAGTTTTGTATCCCAGCGTGGCTTTACGAGTCCAGAACACGGGTCGACGTCATTCTGAGTTAACCTGCCCAGACAGAATATGACGTCTTTTCGTTCGAATAGCGTCTCAAAATCCTCTTGATCCCTCGGAATATTGAATGAGGTTGATTCTCCATATCATTCACAAAAGTTCCAGTTTCAACTTTTAAAAAGAACCAGGGAATATTTTTCATCGCCCCCCATGACTAGCAAGGTTGCAGAAGGGCTCCAGAGGGTCAAGGAGCTGGTGGAAAACATGCAGCCGGGAGAGCAAAAGATCGCAGACCTCGCCCGCGATACTACAGACGTCAACGGATGCCTGCCTTTCACCACTGACCATGGAGTCAAAGTTAGCAATACGGACTTTTGGCTTCGACTTGCATCCGAAAATCAAACCGGCCCATCGCTTTTAGAAGATCAGATTGCTCGTGAAAAGGTTTCGCTTACCTCTCTCGTCTACCTCCCTATTGTGTTCCATCTCTTCCAAGCTTTGCGGGCAACATATGGTAACCATCGAGCTAGATCCATCGATTTGACCATGAAAGAATCCCAGAACGTGTTGTCCATGCACGAGGAACAGGTGCTTTTGGGCACTTCAAGCTCTTCGAGAGCGCGGCAGACGTGACGTCCGCTGGTGTTCTAACCGACACATCCCGGACTACTCCGGTGTTCGTTCGGTTTTCCACCGTCCAGGGCAGCAAAGGCAGTTTCGATACAGTCCGTGATGTCCGAGGTTTCGCTACCAAATTCTATACGGAAGAAGGCAACTGGGATCTTGTTGGCAATAACATTCCTGTATTCTTCATTCAAGATGCTGTGAAATTCCCAGATTTTGGTAAATATTGATTGATATCCCATTTCTTCATTATGGATATTTTCGTATTGATCGTTTTACAACTCGACATTAGTTCACGCTGTGAAGCCGGAACCTCATAACGAAGTTCCCCAGGGACAAACAGCACATAACAACTTCTGGGACTTTGTATATATGCATCCTGAGGCGACGCATATGTTCATGTGGGCTATGTCGGACAGGGCTATTCCGCGATCATATCGGATGATGCAAGGATTTGGTGTTAATACTTTTGTTTTGGTGAATAAACAAGGGAAAAGACATTTCGTTAAGTTTCACTGGATGCCGGAACTTGGGGTTCATTCGCTGGTCCCCGATGAATCATTCAAACTTGGTGGCCAGGACCCAGACTTCCACCGTAAAGATCTAATGGAGGCAATCGACAATAAGGTGTACCCGAAATGGAAGTTTGGAATCCAGGTTCTTCCTGAAGAAAAAGAGCACGATTTTGATTTTGATATACTTGATTCGACTAAGATATGGCCGGAGAGCCTAATACCTGTTCGGTATATTGGAGAGATGGAGCTCAACCGCAACGTTGATGAGTTTTTCCCACAGACAGAACAGGTTGCATTCTGTACCGCCCACATTGTCCCTGGAATTGAATTCTCCGATGATCCTCTGCTCCAGGGACGCAATTTCTCCTATTTTGACACTCAAATTACCCGCCTTGGTGTCAACTGGGAGGAGCTCCCGGTCAATCGTCCTGTGTGCCCTGTTATGAATCACAACAGGGATGGTGCAATGCGCCATAAGATAACCCAAGGAACCGTAAACTATTGGCCGAACCGTTTCGAGGCTTGCCCACCCACGAAGCCCGAGGATGGGGGTTTTGTCACTTACCCTCAAAAGGTAGAGCAAAGTATCAAAGCGAGGATGCTTAGTAGCAAGTTCCGCGAGCATATCAACCAAGCGCAATTATTCTATAACTCTCTCTCCGAATACGAAAAGCTCCATGTCAATAATGCTTTTTGCTTTGAGTTGGATCACTGCGATGACCCCATTGTCTACAACAGACTTGTGTCTCGGATTTCTGAAATCGACCATGCCCTCGCCCAAGCCGTTGCAGTGAAAGTCGGCGCACCGACCACACAAAGGCCTGGGAGAGACAACCCAGGTCAAACAACCATTAACCTAAGCCAAAAATACATCAACGACCGTCAGCTGTCCTCTCCCACAATTAAAGGTCGGAGGATCGCCATCTTGATTGGGGATGGTTACGATTCCGTCGCCTTTGGCACGGTCATAGCCGCGGTGAGCGCCATGGGCGCGCTACCCTTCATAATCGGCACGAAGCGGCAACCCATCTTTGCCGACGACGAGGACAGGAATCACTCCAAGGGTGTGACTCCAAACCACAACTATACTAGCCAACGCTCCACTTGTTTCGACGCTACTTTCATCCCTGGTGGCTCACATATCAAGGAATTGAGCCAGCTGGGCCCTATCCAGCACTGGGTTGCCGAGCAGTTCGGACACTGCAAGGCGATTGGCGCCACAGGAGAGGCCATCAATCTTATCGTGCAGGCTCTGAACAACCTGCCTGATTTGGAGGTCGCATCGGCCTCGTCAGGGCATCCAGTCGATTGGTACGGCGTTGTCACATCGAGTAAGCTGCATGAGCCCCATAGTTTGACCGAAGCTATCAAGCTGTTTCCCGAGGCGAGTGATTTCTTGGGCAAGTTCTTTTATCAGATCTCCCAGCATCGGAATTACGAGCGGGAGATGGCTGGATTGACGGACAAGGTTCCATTTTAAATGGCAACATGGCATGGCTGTGAGTCTCTAGGAAGCAAGTGAAAGTTAGGTTAAGAAATTAATAGTCAGGCCCCCAAAACAACCATACATACTGTAAATATTAGGTTTAATTTTTGGCTTATATGTTTTTCTGGCAACAATGAATTGATTTTATTGCTGTTGCCATTTCTAACAAGTTGTCACAACTAATATATATCTAATCAAATCCATGAAAATGGCATGCTTGTTCACATGTGCTGTCTGATGTAGATTTAAATTGCTAGTGGTTGAACAAAATTATTGAATTCTATGCTTTGGGAAGACTAGTCTCCTTTGTTTGCCGATTGATGGTGATTTGTTGTTCGTTATGTACGATTCCATCCTCATAACTATGTGAGGGTTGAGTTACTACTCCTGGCTGAGGGGGAACTAATTGAATTTGAAGAAAACATCGAACGGATATAGAACTTGATAAAACCAAAAATTGTCAGACCATGATACTGACGAATGGGTACGCTATCAGAAATACCTAGATGGATCCCTACCAAAAAAATAAAATAAAATAAAATAAAATAAAATACGAGGCGTAGTATAAAAACGGGAGGGTAGTATTCCAAAAGGACAACCATCCGTCGCTGGAAGCAATAAAGGTATAGGAATGTGACACATGAGAAAAGCGTTTCCCTAATCAGGCCAAGGAAAGATATATTTTGATCTCTCAACGAATGAAGAAAGAAAAATAATTGAATACAAGCCAGTGTTGTAGATATATGCAACATAAAGGGAGTTGAACGTCATAGACAAGAAAAGGAAACCCAGAATTCGTGGGTCGTACATAATATAGTTAAACAAATGTCAAAAGAAGGGGAAATAGAAAATTGAAAAGAAAGAGTGAGAAGCCTAGCGCCATCCCCATGTTCTTTTCCCCGTCCTTTCCTCACGCCCATCTCCACATGGGTCTCCACACATCCTTCTCCTTCTCACCACTAGTCTCCATAGTCTTACTCCTACACATACAAGTCCCAATGAGGCCCTCATTCCCGTCGCCGATGCCACCGCCCACAGAGGAACTACTATTCATATAGCCCGTGCCCGGCGTCACTGTCGCCGACATAGCAAGCGGGTCCACATGGCCACCGCCCTTCAGCAACAGGTTTATCGCAGCAGCAACATCCAATGACTCGCCCGTGTCCGTGCATTTCAAGGCCCATTTAGCAGCGTCCTCGTTGAAACCTAGCTCCTTCACCATCTTGTGCATGGCAATATCAACCGGGTCAAGGACATAAGAAGATGCGGAATAACGGCCGCGAGATATCTTCTCTTCGGCAGCCGTTTCGGGCGTGGAGAACGTTCGTTGGTGTTGTTTGGGAGCCGATGAAGAGTGGAAGGTGGAGCGTGATGATAATGCTGGAGTGATTTCTGCGCCTGAAGGTGGCGTGGGTGATTCGAGGGTGACGGTTGGTACTGGGGGTGCAGAAGTGGGAACAGGGCCCAGCAGTGATTTTTTAGTAAGAATGGCGTCGGTGGAGGCGGTAAAATTTTGGGTGCTGGAAGTAATGCGTTGCGTCATTTGTAATGTTGTATTGATTGGAGATGGTATGGTTGTTGGTAGGGGTGGAGCTGGGGAGAGGTCTCGATGGCATTTCCTGTTGCTACGGTCAAGATTCTCAATGACGGTGGAGAAATGAGAGATTGGTCTCTCTTCTTTGAAATCTGTAACCGCGCTGGTAATATCTGCGCTGACAGACATGTCAGAACCGTAGGATTCTTTGCGCTTTCGACGTAGCTCAGCGGCAAATCCGGCTTGACGTCGGCGGTTAGGGTTGGAAAACTGTGGTGACAAAGAGCCTGAAGACGATGACGAGATCTCGCGAGAGTGCCCGCGGTGTCTTGTGATGGGGCTAGGGGAATGTGGCGGTGGTGAGTTGGGCTTTGGCGTCCTGGACGATACGGGAGTTTGCATGCTTGCTAATCTTGATTCGTAGACTTGAGAAACCGCTTCTTTCAAGAATAATCTTGGTGCACCGCCGTTACTTGAATCTGGGGCTTTCCATTTCGTCCACCCATTGGCCTGTGCTCTGGAAAACAATGTCTCAATCGGTGCATCAGGGTTGATGCTGGTGAGGGTGAGAATAGCGGACGGTCCAAGGGTTAGAAGATACTGAGTCCAGCTTTCTATTATGTTGTGTGAGCACAAACTGCATCAGAAATTACAAGACAAAATGTGAATGATAACTGCGCACCTATCAGAGATTCCTCCTTTACAACATCACCAGATGTCACCTTCAAGCCGTCAAAGACTCCAAAATGCCGGGCCACCTTGCATTTCCCATGAAACACCTGCAAAAGGACACCAAGGCAGGTCCAAATTTCCATCATGTCGTAGAGTTCTGTGGACGACAGTCCTCCATGGTTGCCTTTGCTGAAAGCAGACGGCGCGTTGAACAAAACGCTATGGACCCCCGCGGGATATTGCATAAGAATGTTAGTACCACGGTTTTCCTCTTCAGCAAGTCGACCACCGCTGAGCCAGTCGACCTGTGCAGTGATATCATCTTCTCTTCCCTTTCCACAGCCAAACAGCTTGCAGAAAGTCCAGACCCTCCAGAACGCTTCATCAACCTCTAAGCAACGAGTCTCGTCCAATCCCGCCAATGCTCTGGCGGTATCGGGCCGTAGGAAGCTCTCGCAGCGTACAAGGATGAGGGATTTTAAAGCAACCATGGTATAGAGGTCTCGCGTGTAATGGTTTATGTATAAATTCGGTGTGTATTCTGGCACAGGCATGTCAATATCTCCTGTTTCGTCGCCCTCTGTCTCCCAAGGTGGACATATCTCGCGCAGCTCCCATGCAGCAGGGGACATGCGGAACAAAGTATCCTTTATTAGGGTCAATGAATGTTCTCTGAAGACGGAGTAGAAGGCCTTGTTAATGACAGAGAGATTAAACAAATCCTCAAGGTTGTCGATTTTCTGCATGATCTGATAGATAACACTCTTCGCTATCTCGCTGGGGAAGGGTTCACAAAGCATGTCTTTGGACCCCACACGTTCGCTGGCGGAGGACAACTCACTGTCCTCGAACTCGAACACTTCATTATTTTTATTATGGCAGGAACAAGTGTTATGAGGAGATTCTGGTTGCTCTGGATCAAGCCTGTTGAGGACCGCCATGATGCGCTCCTTGGGACTGGTCTCGTTGTTGATGTCAGGTTGGTTTTCTTGGTCAGTAGGGGACTCCACCACTGCACTGAGGTTGACAGGGCCCCTGATCGACTTGGCGCTGAGCTGGGTTCGTAGGCGGGGCAAGCTGAGTCGAAGGTTACGCTCGACATTCTCACCCCTTCCCTTCCTTAACGTCGCCACGCGATTTACCGTTTCTGTCGGTTTCGCATCATCGCTGCTGTTGTTACTGGGGCTCATGCTATAGTCGAGATTATCATCATTCGCACAAACCTGCGGCAATGGGCTGGGCAATGGTTGGTGCTTATCAACCGCCTCTACTAACTCACTAATCGTCGGTGTCACTTTAACCTTCTTTTTAGCGCTCCAACTCTTTTTGGCTGGAAAACTGAAAGAAGAATGATCGTTGCGCTTCTTAGGCGAAGATGCCTTCTTAGTCGGGGACACGGATGAGTGTGGACCAAGTTTTGTTCGATGTGAACGTGGTTTCAGTGGTTTAGGTGCGCAATCTGCAGGAAACTCGAGAGGAGAAGATCGATTCCAACCTATCTTTAACCAACTGGTATTATTTCTAGTGGACCGAGACAGAGCAGAGAGCTGTTCTTCCAGCTCAAAGGTAGCCATGCGCAGAGATGGAGAGCTAGAGATTGTGCTTGAGCCGGAAGCTCGTCCTGATTTCGATTTGGCGTGTTTACTGGGCGCCACATGATAAAAGCCTGAACGACGGAATGCCTCATCCAAAATATCAAGGTCAGACGGTCGTGGGTCTCGTGGCAGGAATACCGGTTTGCTTGTCGGCTGGATTAACCGACCGCAATGAGAGGCATTGCCCATGGGTTCTTGTCCGACGGTACGCTGGATCGACTGTGGAGTAATTTCTATCACTGGTTCTGGAGGCAAGGGTTTATTGCGTAACTTTCTGAGGCTGATTTTGTTCTTGAACGTAGGATTCCTCTTCAAGCCAGTGTTATCGTCGAACACGCCGGCAGTAACGGGAGATATTAACGAATAAGCCTTGTTGTGTCTAGAACATCCGTCTGCAACGGATTTTTGGGGGAAGTCATCTGAGTATATACTCGATCTTGAGGAGGCTGGGCTATTCGGCGCAGAGACACTTCTACCGAGCTCGGAAGAAGTAGTTGAATTACCACTTTTCCCAGACTGGTCCAAAAGCGGGTCCGTTTCAACTTGAATGAGCTTGTCAAAGGAGGGAGGAACAAAAGCTCGCTGAGGCTGGGGCATATCGATTGACAAAGGTGAAACAACTGTCGAAGGGGCTAGAGATTGGATATATCCAGGGGTGGCTTGGATCGCCTTTTTCTGAAGAACCAAGCCCAGGATTGGCGATACATTCTCAGTAGTGGCTTTTGCAGACACTTCCTGGGGAATGTCAGCATTGGGGGCTTTGCGGTATGGCCTACTTCGCCCAGGGTGTATGGGGGGTGGGCTAAGCTCGCTACCCTGGGCCAGCCTGGGACACCTATCTTGTCTCTGGTCTGCAGTTATAGGACATGAACTCCCCGCTGGGTGCATATTTGGGGATCTTCGCTCACCCTGCATAGAGTTTAATATCCTTGTCTGCCGTTCGGGGGGAAGCGCTCTTGGCGAAATCTCCTGAGGAAATTGTACGATTTCCAATTCATTTGCGTCTGGAAACTTGGGCGAATCCTGTTTCTGACTCCACGCAAGGGTGGAATTCAAAGCAGGATGAAGAGGTAAAAGCTGGGCATCGGCCGCCAATTTGTCAATTTTATTACACTGCAAGTTGGTACTTGTGCTAATAGCTATCGAGTCAGTGGATTTGGATTTCGGTGAATCTGCCGATTCGCTCTTCCTCTTCTTCGTAGCGGTGCCTTTCGATTTCTTCGACGTGGGAGACCCGTTTGTCGGACGGGAAGTGCGCATGGGCCATCTAACTTGTAGTGCTGCCATTGAATAGCGAGGCTTCTTCTCCTTGCTCTGTATCTCCAGCAAGGGAGAGCAATAACCCGCTGCGGGAAAACTCAAAGACATGATCAAACACTGAGGGAGATTGGCGCTGCGCGGTATTCTACCTGAATTCCTGTTAGCATCGTTTTTGAGTTTCAAAGAATAAACGAAGTATACCGACTGTGGAGAAAGGAGACGGATGGTGGAGTTGTAGACAAAGGAGCGCGAACAAAATGGCTCATAGAAGACCCATTCCTTGACCTACCTGTTGAAACCCTACTTTTATTGCTCAAGAAAGGTAAAAATGGTTAAACGGAGGAACTTGTCATCCAACGATACTAGTAGAGGAGAACGACAATGTGTCCAGAATCGCAATCGACGTAGTCCACAATCCACTGGTAAAATCCCTCTCGGCAGGGAGTGAGTCTATATACCAATCGAACAAAGTAAAATATAAACCCTCGTTGATGTCCTTTCTTCCTCCCGTTTCTTTATCTCCTTTATCTCCTCATATTCATTCAAGCTCCGTGAAAATCGCGTTTTCATCCAGACATCAAGTTAGGATACATCAAGCAATTAATGCACAAAATTCTACTTGTGCGCTGTAAAATGACCAAGCAGGGGAATAATAGAACCGGCTGTCCTTATATGAGCCGAAAGCACAAGGCTTCCAAGCACAAAGCCAGAAGAAAAGGGAAGGAATTCGAGAAGAGCAATGTAGGGCAGGGCTTCGAGACGAGGATTGTTGTGGTCGGCGCAGCGCTTGATATAGATATACGAACCCCCCCAGCCAGAGTCGAGCAGCAGGCTAGGTCTGCACAGCAAGTTAGTTACATGCACAGTTCTCCGTAGCCACTCCACTAAAATAAATTCCCTTGGCCGTGCCATTTGATCTATAAGCGGTAACAACAGCTGCTAAATCTGAAATCATTCTCCACCCCAGTTTGTTTCATGGCCATGAATATCAGGCGTGAGGTATTCCAAGGTGAAACCAACCCCATACTCCCTGAGCCCGAATCCTCTCCGAGCAGCCTTTGACACTCCCGACATCATCGCCGGCGATGCCAGTGCGCTGAGCCGCAAGACGGTTCAGTCGCATGCACCCAATCGCAGGACTTCGTTTCGGTTTCCAGGGCCCTGGTATCCAAGCTGGGGCATGGCCCGTATCTTTCGGGTTGGGGGATCAAACAAGATCGCTTTTGAATACCCTGGTGAAGACTGCTGCGTCATATCGCCAGGAGTAACGGAGAAGTTGGTGGGTTGGCCTGTTGGCCTGTTGGCCTGTTGGAGCAGCGCGCCTATCCGCCATTCAGCTTAGTCCGCTGCTTTGACGAAGCTAGAGTTTTGATACAGCCCCCAACATCCCTCCTCGAGCCAAAGTTGCGTTGAGGGATGCTTCGTGTCTCTGTATGAAAGATACAGCAAACGATCTAGCTACGATTCTCGGGTCGGTTCGTTAAAAATAAAGATATCAACCAAAAATAACGTCGCAAAAGAATATCCACTCAAGCAGGAAATAGTGTGAGGAAAACCCGGCCCACTAGGTTATGATTCCGAATCTAAGGACCATCGCCCAGAGTAACTAAGTCGCTGATGAAGTTTCCAGAGTTGGGGGCTGAGCTTTTCCAACCGTCCCTCACAACGAGCAACAGCCTTACACGGCATGAGCTAATGGCGTGAACGGCAGCTATTTATTTCCATGCTATTTTCATACTTGATATTTACTACTTCTCCAGCTTTGGATTGTTCTCTCTATTCCGCGATTCCTCTCCCACCTGTGCCGACAATGCTAGATACTAGTACTAGTATTCAAACATTGATATCGGGCCTCGATCATGCACCCGATTGACGGACCCGTGGATGAGGGGTACTTGGTCGGGGATAAAAAGCCGGATCTGGGTCAACAAGATCAAAGGGAAAAAAAGGGGAAGGGGAAGGGAACCCCGCACTGGACTTCAAACAAAAAATTCCCGGTGCCAGATCCCCAACCACTTGTTAGTGCTGATGGTGTTGCGTACGAATTATTAATTCATGAAGTTGGCTCCATTGTTCGCTAATCATGGATGGCTATCCAAAGCAACAATGGCGAGAGCTCTTGTTTTGTCTATTAATATTCAATTGCTTCGAGAGTGGAATAAATGGAGAGTTGTCGCGATTCTTTGTTTCCGGCCAGAGTTACTAACAAGCTATGCGTCGCAATTGAACGGTACTCCATCAACTGTTTGGCCCCAGTTGGAGATTGTTCACCAACAACCAACATGTTGGCTCTGGCTAAACCATTGCGATGTGCGATACATCCCCTTGACGCCAGGACCATTCCTACTTGTTGTATTCCAAGGTATGTAATTGTGAACTTGAGCCCTATTACGGAGTGGGGTCCCTTTAGTGGAAGTGTGAAAGTCCAATTCTCACTATTTATACCCCACCTCAAGCGCCTTTCTCGAGATCCACTTGGCTTCATATATAGTTACTAGTATATTTATATATTATTATTACTTTCGACTTTCAGTGACAGTATGGGAAGCACCTCCGGGACGGTAACATTTATCAACTTTCTTCCTCATCTGTAATATCATATTGGTTTTTTCAACGTGTCGTGAGGTGGTTAAACTCCCCGAAAAATTAGTCTCCAAGCGCAAAGGGGCTAACGAGGTCATAAGTGATTAATGGACTTTGGCGCTGATGGTGATGGTATCAAACTGAAAACGTTTTCAACTAGGCTTAAAGGGAATATTTCCCATTAGCGCCAGCAGAACCGGTTTGTTGTGTGTGGGCATGCGCCGTTCGAAAATGAGAATAGCCCTTCCATGTATGTTTTTCATTCTCCAGATCAGATGAGAATGAGTTCGAATATAACATATGAAATACCCTGAGCCATGCCTGGGTGCTCGTTCAAATCGACCGTTGCGTCTTTCTAGGATTCAACTTCTTTCTTTTCCCAATAATATAGCAACATAGTGGTAGTGCCTCGACAGAAACCAAGAACTCAGGCAGCATGCGGTGCGGAAGAGACAAGATAGGTGCGAGCGGCTCCTCATATTTCAATTTCGACACTTGGCCAAAAGAAACAAAAATAAAAATAAAAATAAAAAATAAAACTAAAAATAAGCGAAGGGAGTGAAGTGCGTGTATTCCTTCTCCTTGTCTATCCAACCCTCAATTCCTAACCAAATATTCGAGATAGTGAAAAAATCTGGAAGGATGATTGCTAGGCTTCTTTTCGTGTCAACAACCGGCTTCAGCATTTTAGCTTCACGAAAGCACCGGCTGATCTACCTGATTGCCCTGACAGGCCGTATTCGTGCAGATCGTGTTTGCTAGGCATGAAGCACGGCCCTATATTCCTCGTATCCGTGATGAGTTTTAGCTTAGAAAAACAAGATGACGTTGTGTCTAGTTGTCCACGTTACCGTCCGTTGACCGCGTTGCTAAATCATAAAAGAAGAAATAAACGAACGATAGCCGGTCTTATGAGTTAGCCGGAGCTGGCATAAACCGAAAACGCCTTATCGATACGGGGAGATATCTATCTATACACATAACGAGGCCGAGGAGTATGCTATATATCCGATGATGTATTGATTCTTTGAGCACCTCTTGTTTGGTTTCAAACCCTGGAGGTCCTGGGCCAAGCTCACTACCTAGGTTCCAGAGGAATATCAGATATTTCTCATATCGATACCAAGGACGGAATCACAAAGAGTGATTCAACCGAACTGCAACCCTAAGTGGGTTGGATACGATGCGTAAACGAACAGATCTCATACGAAACAAAACAAACCTATCGTCAAAAGTCATCCAAAGCCGAGAAGCAGAGTATTACCTCATCACTCGGCCACAGAGAACAAAACAGCTGTGTAATTTTCAGCTGAAAGCAGGGGCTGTGATGGCTGAATAAGGACGGGGATGTTGCCGCTTTCATACTTTCAGTTCTGCTGGCTGCCTTCATAGTTTCGGCATTCTTTTCTTCAGGGGAAGCATGTCATGGGAAACCAATCTGATATGCTAACGTGGAATTATTCAACACGGAGAATGATCCGCCTTTCGCGATAGTCGGCGATCTCTTCGCCCCACATGGCCCCAGGACCCAATGCATACAGCCGGCTACGCCGGCGATCCTTGTGGCTTATCAACTTTTGATTCGTTTAGGTGTTTAAACTACTCATTCTGGCCGGAAGAACAACGGAAACCGTACACCTTGCAGCCACTAGCCTTGGCCCTGTGGCTGGGTTTCGTTTTCAGTGGGGCTGGAGGATTTATAAATAGAAGCCGTTGCATGGGAAATTCGGCATCTGCGGAAAGTGGGGTATCAATGGAGGGTGAGGTTTTGATACCCAGTGTATCAGTGGGTTACGCAAGTTACGCAGGTTGCAAGTACCAATCCATTGAGGAAGAGTAAAAGTTATGCGGATTGACCACTCGTGATTCATAAAGTTCAGCCACACTTATTTCATTCTTGTAACGAGGAAAATCATGGCGTTGGGGATGTAAAGAGAAAAAAATAAGTAGAAAGACATGTTTGCGTTGCACGATACGAAGTTCCCGTTATGTGAGAAGGTTGGGGGCCTCCAATTGAAAAGAGATAATAGTTCCGGGGAAGTAGCATAGCCTTGAGTCTATCCATAATGGGTGTGCATGCATTTTCATACTCTTCGATGCGTATAAGCAAATAAATACCCAAAAGAGTCAACCTCTCGGCCCAAACAATGTGGCCCAGAGTCAGGTTCAGCTGCTCAAAAGCGAAATAGTAGAATCCTGTAAATACCCGAAAATAATCGTAATGGAGCAGCATTTATGCTGTGCTCCGCCAGTTGCTGCTTAATTCATTCGAATTTTAGAAAAAGTAAAAAAAATAAGGCCAGGACTAATTACCTGGACAATTCAACATTGAAGGCCGTAAACCAACCAGTTAGCTCTGCCCTCACTCTGCGATTTTTCGTTAAAACCTAGGAAATATACCCAAAAAGGACAACCGGGATGGTATCGGAGGAACCAAAGAATTGAAAACGAGCGAAATAAAGCAGTGATTTTCTATCTTCGTCCGTAAAAAACCGAGAAATCGTGCCGTGTAGATGGAGAATGCAACTAAGCGGAACGGTGGAGGGGGGAAACACAGGCATCAAACCTCAGATCTTAAGCTAAGATATATACCCCAGATCATCCCAAACAGGCTCCCTGTCAGAACTCTCTTCTCTGGGGAAATCATAGTGAAGTTAAGCACGGAAACCATTGGCCAAAGCTTCAGACCAGCCATGATGATTGGGACGAAATCCTAGCCAACATGTGTAGATTAGCTACGTTCTTGAAATCTCACACAACAAATGGGTCCAAATTCATATCTGACGAAACCTTATCACGCAATTCACGTGTGGAAGGAAACTCCGGGAGTCTCTATGATATGAATTGATTTATAATTGTTGAAGGAATAAGTAAACCAAAGGTGATATAGTTATGTCACCTACCTTATATAATGATTGTTGAATAGTTTTGACATCCTGGCCATTCAAGGCAGAGATGGTTACAATAAATAAAGCCGAACTCCATGCTGCGCCAACAGTCTGGTCTATCACAATCTTAAGAACGGCATTCCGGGTATTCTTTTTGGAGTTGGAGTTTTGTGATTCTTCCCGCTCCAGTTGCTTGGTTTTGGCCCCGCACCGTGCTATCTCGTGGCTAGCCATGTTAGAGGCATTTTCACCTTTGCCTGCCATCGATGCGGGAGGCATAACTGCGTTGTGGTCAGGAGATGCTGGATATGCGATTTCGAGATGGTTCTGCCAGAGGACCATGAAAGGCGTTGTGATAAGCGTGCATATCATGAAGCGGATCGATTCAATGTAGTCAAGAGTGAACCTCGTCTGTTTCATTTGGTGGCAAAATTCAACCACGGCGTTGAAAAATGCCGCACAAGCAACCCGGGTTAGCATTCTGCTCTCGCTGCCTTGCGTGGTTTTCATACGGGATACCAGGGATGTTCCCTATGAAGAAAGAAACCATCGAAAACCAAATAAACAGGGGCGCGGGGCGGATATTTTGCGGCATATGATGATACCTAGCCAGGACTCCGTCGAAGATGAAACAAAGGCCAAAATCCCAGCTAAGATGCCCATAGACGAACAGAGTGGAGGGAATTCAAACGCAGCTTACCCCATGTCTGTACGACGTTATCCCTTGAGCTATTACATTGGAGCTGCCATTGAGAAGGGCAGATTGGAGGGTGGTCTTAAAAATGGCCAGGCTTGGCATGACAGTCATAGGTGGGCAAATTTGCAGCTTTGTGATGTAGACTCGGAGTTATTCTCGAGGAAAAGAATAAATGATCATGCGAAGCGATTCAAAAGGCGGAAGAAAATATGGGAACGAAAGAGGGAACGAAAGACGGATCGGTAGATAGCTGGGGACGAATGTGGAGCTGCTAGTGGGATAATAATGGATAATTCGTGGAATACTGATACAAAATCCTCACAGGATCTTTTAGAGAAGAGACTTCTAGTGGGGCGTTCTATTTTCCAATTGTATTGACGAGCAGCCCCGTTTCTTGAGGCGAACTTGGCACAGAACCTGCATGTTTTTATGTCCTTCTCGTTCTTCTGGTGATATAAGTGCCAGAGAGACTTGAGAAATATGTTATCCTAGATTAGAAATTTGATAACAGGAAACATGTTTAGATCCCCCAGGATTGGGGTTTGTCTAGAGGCTGTATGCCTAAATCTTAGCAGTCAAACTAAGCATGAGCACCCTAAGTTCCGCTGAGAGGAAATGCTATGTCTCCGGTACCTTCAGCACCTGGCCCTCTATGTTTAACTATGAAACAGTCCGAACATCAAGAATGCCCCAAACATGCTATTTTAGGTCTTGCTCAATGCTCCGATTTAGCCAACTTAACCAGTTGTTGGAAGTCCTATCTATACCTTTGTAATTATCTACCAGCACATATTGCAATACTATTCTAGGAACCCCTTACCAAGTAAGCGAATCTTTGAACATTTGGCAAGCGATATTTGAGGCAACAGGTTGTTCCATATTTTCCAGCTCTTTGCATACTATTTCCGTATTTAGAGAAATGCGGCATTGTCAGAAGATATAGTTGGCTCCATAACTGGGAATCAAAAGCGAATGTTACTAGTATGGAATGCGAACTTACATTCATTTGCGAGTTTATATCTGTCACTAGTACGTGACGTTGTCACTATCGGCAAGATTTCATCGCCTGCAGCCCGCTCAAGCTTGAGGTGAGATTTCAAATGCGAAAGGATGATATCTTGTGCCAATTGGTCATGGGTACGATCTAGTTACCAAAAAAAGTCCAAAAATTGTGGAAGCTATTAGTAGTCCTTCTTGGTGAGTTTTAGGTCTCTTGAGTACCCACTGTCTATGTCCTCTTTCACGCTGAGTAGGGAAGGATATCATTCGGGAACAATTAGCCTCTGGGCGGATAAGAAAATATACCGATCAATCTGCGTGATGCCATACCTTCCGGGGCTTCCCAGTGCCTCATACGCCGTTTCGAATTCCCCTATTCTAGATTCAAGGATGGATTTTATGCGATTTGATATTTCTTGACTCTCAACCTGTTTCCTTGCCAAATTGCCGTACACATCACAGCGGATATTTGAGCGGCTTGCGCATATAGGAGTTATGGAGACGGAATACCAGATGCTCCCTTCTTCAGAAAGATGGGTCAAGGTTGTACGGAAAGCATCCAAACTGAATGACCTGGGTTTACCCGTTCTAGTGACGCCGAAGATCGATTGAAGAATCGAACTCGAGCTACTCGATTTTCGCTTCACTCGTGCTGCGGTGTTTTTGTCGACATATAGGTTCCGAACTGAGTTAAATATTAGCGATCCTTCTTGTTTGACGGACAAAATCCTCTCTCTTCGTCCCACCCACTCCTTGGTCAGGAATCAAACTCACCGGCCATCTTCCAATTAAATTTGCCTCCAATCTCCCAGCCATCAATCCACACTGATTTCCTTGATATCTGATTCGTGAATCTACCAATTCCATGCCCACCAAGTCCAAGTTCGGGCAGATCACCTCTTGCATCCAAATTCACAAAAATCAACCCATTTTTCGTTACTGCTGAATGAATCTCGAAGAGGCTATTCTGGGTTTTATCAAAGCCTTCCAGACACTCAAACTGCGGCGCTTTGATGAGTCGTCCGCTGGTATTATAGCTCCAGCCATGGTATCTGCACCCGATCACAGTCGAGGAGCCCGACTTCTTCATTGAGATGACTGGATAGGCTCTGTGTCGGCAGACATTGTGAAATGCGCGGATAATGCCATCCTTCCCTTGGATGAGAAAAAGGGGGAATCCGCAGATTTCAAACGCATGGTAGTCACCCGGTTTGGCGAAGCGGCTTATGTGCGCAATATAGAGCCATGTCTAATTTTGTAGGCTTGTTATTTTCTGTGTGACCTTTAATTTTTTAACCATGTGGTGAGGGCTTCGGATGGATATTGCTCGATGATGTAAACATTCCTGTCATAGATTTTGTGAAAAGAGAGACACCTCCGTCTGAGTTTACAGGAAATGCATGCCCCTACCTTACTAAAGATCGCCCGCCTCTCCAATCGAAACACTTCATCTCCAGTCCACCAGTTCTCGGGGAAGTCAGATTCCTTGCACACATTTGCTGTCGATGATTGACCAGCTTCCGCGGTAGGCCCTTTACTCTCCGATATATGAGCTTCTGGTGAAGTTGCCCTTCTCAACAACAAATCTTCAATGCAAGTTAGGTTTAACTGGGAATTCGAATCGAAGGTGCGAAAGGGGAGAGCGGATCTCCTGAATGTCTTGCCATCTTTCTGCGTCACCGCGAGTATGGCTAGGAGGATAATGAGAATAGGGGCGAGGACATAAGTATTGGCTAGAAATGAGGATAAATACTCCATCCTCCTTGGTTCGAAGTATATTAAAAAAGGAGCATTGTTTTAGCAGAAGTTTTTTTCTAGAGAGCAGCTCCAGTGCAGGGAGGATATAATATAATCATCCAAACCACTGATCAACTGGCCATAACTGCTCCAGCTCTCACAAGGCTGTTGCCTCCTTCTGTGCTTACCATGCTCAATTCCTCGACAATTAAATATGTCGACAGCGTTAGTTGCAGCCACTTGCACAATCGCACATCTTCTTTTCCCGCTCATCGGTCGCGAAAGATATAACTTTCCACATTTAACATCTTGGCCTGCCATCCGGCGCAGTTGTGTTTTCTCAGGCCAGATAGTCATTGGCTGCCAGAAATATTTTTCCCAATCAGGTCATAACTTCCATCTGCTCAATCACTGGTTGGAATGGATCTTAGACTGGGCTTGGCTGGCGCCTCGTCCAAGGCTTCCCACCCCCGGCGGCCGCGTAATTGGACTAACTATTACTTCTTCTCGAGGAGTATTACCCTCGCTGTCAAAGAAGGGAACCCAGCACGTTGCAGATGGAAATACCAGTTGGCACAAAGGAGGGTCCCAGGATGGGAAAGTGGCGGATATGGACGTGTCCTGGAGGTTCAGGATCCCATTTTGCTGCGGTTGATATGTCAACATGTATGATGATGTGGACTAAGTGGATTAGGGTCAGGAGAGCACCATGTACAAGAATGATCTGTTTGGAGAACTACGCATAAGTGGCATGCAAAGCAGGATGCTACGTTTGTACCGGACAACTAGAAAAGATACTCACGATAGTATGAATCGGTGGAAACTACGATTTTAGACATAAATTGTCCTGGAGGGTTCAGAATGTATATATGTCGGACATTTATTAACTGTAGGTGTGATTCCAAAGGATACACATGGTGATGATCTGGTGACTAGTTACAGAGAACTGTAGCAGCTTGTGTAGAGTGGTTCTTCCCGCCCTCCACCGCCTTTTCCGGATCTTCGCTCGCTTTCTCGAGCCTATGCTGCTCAGTGACTAGGTCAAAGACCCGACTTTGATAGTCTGAAAAATCCAAACAACAGTTATTTTCAATATTCTGCAGGAAACAATCTACCAGGATAATAGGGCGGGATTCAGCTCACATGCCACTCCAGTCTCTTTGACCGGATTCAAAATTCCCTCGTTATACACGCCATTCTGCAAGTTTCCCTGCGCCCTTTCACACAGCTCATAGTCTTCCATGGCCACCTGACGAACAAATTTGAAATATTCTTCGAACTTCTCGCCTGATTCGAGATGGTAGTAGTCGAATTCCATCCTAGTAACGTTAGGATCACCAGTTGGACAAACTCGGAACGAGGACATTCCTCCGCCGTACACGTTTAGTGTGCAATTTGGAAAGAAGTAGAGGAATAACCCGTCATCTGGCTTCTTTGGGTCGGCGATATGTTGGGAAAAGTTCAAGTGGTTATAGACAGTGTAGAATGTCGGGGGGTAATAGATAGAAAATGAAGGGTGAGTATATTGACAATGTAGACATTCTTGATAACCATCCACCCTGTAATCATCTGTTGTCAGCCAACAGTCAAGGAAATCGGCAAATGACGTGTGCAATGGACGATATCGTACATAGTTTTCCAGTTGAAGCTCCCTTCATACTTGATGCTGCGGCGATACGGGAGCCTAGTAAAGTCCACTTTTGCTAGAAGGGGCTCTAGATCGGGGTAGAATTCATAGAAATCTGGTGCGTCCTGCGATATCCCAGAGAATAGAAGCCCAGTCGGTGTAAGGTGGCTAGGTAATTCCGCACCCTTGATGATTTGACAAATATTAACACCCACAGCAGTGACCGTATGGTGGTAATGGCCCTCACAGTGCGCTCATGGATGACTCTCAGCTCTTGCGAAGTTGGAAGTGCAGAGGTACCAGAATGCCTTTGAACGTATAGACGCTCCTGGGCAATTTCATATTGAACTTTGGCATCAACCTCCTGGAAGCGAGTTGCTGGGCCGAGCAAGTACCAGGCCTATAAAGAAGTCATATTAACACCAAATCGCCTTAAAGTAAAGATGAAGTCGAAGCTGAAACTTGGCAGACCTTCAGAAACACAGCACGGCGCTCAAGCTGATAGAGTGGAAGGCTCCGGTACCACGAAGCAGGAAGAGTTCTTTGAAATTTCTCCATTTTCGAAGCAATTGTCCAAAATCTCAGAGGAAAAAAGGGATACACGGGAATATAAATACCATCTCAGGTAAGTGGCTCATTATGTACGCCATGTATATTAATAAAGACCAACTAATAGCTACCAAGGAGCCGGTTTGGAATTTCCAAGTTGCGTTCCGTAAATGGTTGTCAAATCCGAAGGCGGGCAAGTTGGAACTTCCCCCCAAGTTATAGCACCGTTGACTTAACACCACGTGTGTATGCCAACGTAAAAGTATTTGCAAGAATGACAGTGGAAGACGTCCACAACTAGCGTAGGTCTGTCATCTGTGGTATATACCACAGCATATCAGCACAATGCTCTCGAGGTTCTTCTGCATATAAGCCGGTCTCTCTTTTCCGTTTATTAATGTTGAATGGCGAAGCTCAATTGCTCTAAGGCTGACAGAGCGTAGAGATAGCACTACTTGTTTGATATTTTTTTTTTTGTTTTTTTAATTCAACGACCCCAGCATCCTGAAGGCTGTTGTACTGGACATGTAAACTCCTGTGGAGCAGTGCTAGCAATAGCAGTTCGGGCCCTGTATCTAGGATTTTGCAAGACCATAGGATGTGTAAGCACCGTGAACAAGATGGAATTGCCGACCATGTTTGAAGCCGAATCCTCTATCATCATAGAGCAATGGAGGTCTACCGAAGTCTTTCTATCGTTCTTGATGCCAAATTGTGTGGAAGCTGTTTTGACATCAGATATCATGTGATGTCCCGTCTGTCTCTCGCCAAGCCTCCCGCCAAGCCTCCTCCCAATACGTCACCATCACCAGCTTCATCCCGGCTAGGCTTCTTCATTCATCCGGGGAGTATATATCTGGCGCTGGTGAGCTTTGAAATCCTGCCGACATGAGCCCACAACAAATCAAAATACGTTAAGCCTATAGTCCGATTCTCGCCTACCATATCTCTGCCTTTTTCCATTCCGTGCTGGTACTTCGAGGGTGATATCGGGCTGCCAACATGGCGGGGTCATCCTCCCGCCTTACACCTCCGCCCTCCCCAACGGCTTCATTCTATGATATTAGCGACGACGACGAAGGCGACTATAACACCATTACCCACACTAGCACGGGTAAGGGGGTGAAACTTTTATTCTCTAAAAGCAAGGTGTGCACGCATCCAGTTTCCCTAATACACTGCTTTCAACAAGCCATCGTATCACGCGTTTTTCCAACAATGGATAAAGACTTTGACTTACCCGCAAGTTTTTTACGCCAGGTTTACGTGCACCCTACTCCTTCATCTAAAGACAATATACCGGGTTTTATCGCCCTTATACAACAGAAGTCTACCCCTTCCACCGAAGGCGATCTATCGCAGCCTTCCTCCGCAATTACAAAACCCAATGCTTCCTCATACCTTCTTGCGTGGGTCCCGGAATCTTCCCTGGGTGATGCATATAGCACCTACGTAAAAGTAGACATGTCCGACAGCACATCTCCTCCGCGCCAATCGTATTTGGTGCCGCCACTTCCTACCACATCTTCTGATCCTGGCTCGATCGGCTTGTATGCGTTTGCTGTTCCTCTAAGCCAGATATATTCATTGCTCGTTCGTCCGCCGAGCTTGGGTTGGTGGTTTGGTAGTGTTGTTATAAATACAAGGGCTGGAGATAGTTTCCCGGCCCTTTTCTTCCATGATACGGAATGCGAATCCACAATTTTACAAAAGAAGAAACGAACGAGAGAGAGTTTTGATCCGTTCGATGAAGGTGGGAATATGTTTTGGGGAGGTGACGAGGTATTGAGATGGCTGAAAAGATACGTAACCGTCGAACGATCGGGCGCTGATCCGAGTGCGTACCTGATCAATTCTTCGGAGGAGGATAAAATGTCCTTTGGCCACCCTCTGACTGTGGATAAGTCGCAACCTTCGCAGCCTAGACAGAGAGATGCGGGCATGGATCCCCTCACTCGAGTGTTGAAAGAAACACGGTGGAAGGTCCTGGAGCAGCTCAGCAAGATCACTACCTTTACCAGGAGGACCGCTCAAGATATTGCCGATAACCCAAAGGTTCCTCCTCAGGTGAGACGTCTTATGCGAAATCCGGAAATCCAGACCTTGCAAGAGGAGTTTGATAGTGCTAGGTTATATCTAGCACGATGGGCAATGGGAGTTGCTGAGCAGAGCGAGCGTGAACGAAACCGGCGAATTTGGACTGCAAGAGACATGCTAGAAATGGAAGACAGCTCCGTCGGTGAATTTGAAATCCTGAACATGGAAGCAGCAAACTTATCTCTTGCTGACAAACGAAAACCTGTTACCTTGGAAGAGTGGAATAGCTGGTTTGACTCTGTCACTGGGCGGCTGCAGATTACCCAGGACGAAGCTAAGGAGAGGATTTTCCACGGAGGCCTTAACCCAACCGATGGTGTTCGCAAGGAGGCTTGGCTGTTTCTGCTTGGGGTATATTCATGGGAAAGTAATGACGATGAACGCAAAGCGATACTAAATTCGAAACGGGATGAATATGTGCGTCTAAAAGGAGCATGGTGGGAGCGATTAGTTGAAGGACTCTCGTCGGCGGGCGACCTCGAATGGTGGAAAGAACAGAAGGCTCGAATAGGTTTGTTATTTTCCGTTTATTCTATTCTATTACTTTTTATGCTATTTATCTTATTAGAGACTGATTGGAACTATTTCGGTTTGGAATGCAGAAAAGGATGTTCACCGCACGGATCGTACTATCCCATTATTTGCAGGGGAGGATATTCCCCACCCCGATCCCGACTCTCCGTTTGCCGAAACGGGTACCAATGTCCATATGGAGCAAATGAAGGATATGCTCCTTACTTATAACGAGTATAACCGAGACCTTGGCTACGTCCAGGGAATGAGCGACCTTCTCGCCCCAATCTATGCTGTAATGCAAGATGATGCGGTAGCCTTCTGGGGATTTGTTGGGTATATGGATCGAATGGTATAACCCAAGATACTGTCCTGGCTGATCTAACAACATTCTTTTAACACTTTTTTTGTTTATGTAGGAGCGAAATTTTCTCCGCGACCAATCTGGGATGCGATCTCAGCTTCTCACTCTGGACCAACTTGTTCAACTAATGGACCCGCAACTTTACCTACATCTCCAGTCCGCCGACAGCACAAATTTTTTCTTTTTCTTCCGCATGTTCCTTGTTTGGTACAAGCGGGAGTTCGAATGGGTAGACGTGTTAAGGCTGTGGGAAGCGCTTTGGACGGATTATCTGTCAAGTAATTTCCATCTATTTATCGCATTAGCGATCCTTGAAAAGCATCGTGATGTGATCATGGACCATCTCAAGCATTTCGACGAGGTTCTGAAATATAGTAAGTTTGCCAGCCCCTTCCACGTTTCTCTCAATCATCTGTTGTTCGCTTGCTATTTTCAAAATTTCCATGAAGAATGTAAAATTGCTAACCAATGCAAATCTGACTTTAGTAAACGACCTCTCAAACACCATGGAACTAATCCCCATCCTCTCTAGAGCAGAAGCGCTCTTCCGCCGCTTCGAAAAGAAAGTCGAAGCTATCGATAAGAAGAACAATTTCCCCACACCACCCGTACGCCGACGTATCGTTGGATCTTCTGACAGCGGGACCCGATCCTACCCCTCAACTCAACAAACCTCCGATTCCCGTGCTAGCCAACTAGTTTCCCGCGACCGTAGCCGTAGTACTCCAACTTCACCCAACAACCGAAGAGCCGATCTGGAACGGATAATCACGCCTGAACTTCGGGGTCTCATGAGTAAAACGGTACAAGTTTTGGATGCCACACAAGTTAGGGAGCACGGCGGGGGGACGAGACGAAATTGATGAATATTTTTCCCCCTTTTTTCGTTCTCGTTTTAGTCTCATGCCTCAGGCGTGGAGATGGCAATCTAAAACACCAAGCGTAATGCGTTTTCTAACACCCATCCACACTCTTCTCCCGCACGTATCTCCACCGTCTTTGCTAAGCAGGCTCCTTCTGCTCTACCTCTCTTCCAGAGAGGAATCCTATTCTACCACCTCCATACACGCTGATCCCAGGCACTGCGAACTCCATCATACTTCCCACTTCAATGCCGCCCCGATGAATTACTATACTATATTAACTATCTCTATTTCTTCTTTTGCTTTTGATTTATTTACTTATTTTTTTTTTTTTTCGTTTATTTTTTTTCAAGTTTTGACATTTCATCGTCAAAACCACAATTCCTGTACTATTTATTTATTGTTTACGGATAGCGTTGTGTATTCCCGCTCTCAAATAAATGCATTCGTTGCTGGTCCAAGTTTCAACTCAACCGACATTGTACCACATTTCCAATTCTTCAACCGGTGGATAGACAGATAAATAGGCCGGTGGTGGTGGTGGTGGTGGTCTGATTTACAATAATGGGTTGAAAGTAGAGGGAAAGTATTTTTCTATGTGCATTGCGGAGCTGGAGGTCGGAAGGGACAAGGCTGGGGTGGTAAAATAAATGTCTTTTTTGGGAATATCTATCTATCTGGGATAGTCAGTTAGATGTTTACTAACCCTATCTCTGATATGTCTTACGAGAAAGATATTGCGGATTGCGGATGTATGTATGATAATAACAAATCTCCCCTTCTTCGACACTTTCCATCATCACTGGAATGAAGCCCTAGCCCTCCATCCCTGTGTCTCACCCCATTTCCCGCAGTGACGGCAACAGATAGATACGATAGCTGAACAATTATTTGGGAAGTTTTGTTTGCGGGACAGTATGTATATATAGTATCTATAAATCGAGAATTGTGAACGCAATGGACGAATGCAAATGCAGAAGAAGTAGAACAAGATATGGATTAGACAAATTATTAAGAACGAAAATAAATAGAGCGCTTAGGGTAGACAGACAGACCTTAAGCCTCTTGTTTGAAAATGGATATGCGGGTGAAATGGGAATTCGAAAGTAAAATATTGGAAAGAGAATAAAAGATAAGAAAAGAAGGAAGAAAAAAAAGAAACCGAAAAACGCCTGTGCATGAGATTAAAACCAAGTAGAGACGAACGACAATTGGTATACGAGAAGAGATAGAGAAGAACTAAGATAGGGGGGGAAGAGAATAGATGGATAATAGAGAAGATGAGAGAAAAGAAAATTAAAATAGGAAAACGAAGACAAGAACGACGAGCAAAGGGAGAAAAGGAAATGCTGCGGTGAGCGACGCGGAGTAGAACGCCAAATCCAAAAAAAAAAAAAAAAAAAAAAAAAAAAAAAAAAAACCAAAAACAAAACAAACAAACAAACAAAAAGCGTAAGGGGGTCTAGGGGAAGGAATCAAAACCAAACCAGAAACGAGGAATACGCCCAATGAGGTTAAGAGGATAGGGGGACCTCCCGTCCATATAAACTTAACGTTAGTTAGTCAAGTCAAACAAAATCAATCGCTCAAAGATCACTGAGAAAGTAGCCCCTTTTAATCAAAACGAAAAATGACAGGATCCATCCATCCACCCATCCGTAGCCCCCCGAAATCCAAGAGTCCCGAGACTAAAATATCAAACGCAAAAGAAAAAGGAAGAGAAAAGAAGAAAGAAGACAGGGAAACCACAGACAATAGCTCCCACACAAAGGCTGTGGTATAATAATCAAATAATCTAGTCCCCTGCCCGGTTCAAAACAAGCGTCGAATATAATTCATTCCACCCTCCCTCTATCCAACCCACGAAGATACACCCGTTTATTTCCTGCACCGCCACCGCCGCCTACATCACTAACGCTCCTATAGCCTCGGCCCTCAGTTCGGTCTCGGAGAGCATCCTCCTGCAAAGCATTCGGTCGAAACCGCCTGAGGTTCCCGTAGGAGCGCTCAGGTCTCAACGTCGCAGAGGTGCGTCGGGCGCGCCCGACAACATTTTCCACCCACGCCTCGCTCTCCGGGCTAATGGATACTTGTCTAGATTTGGGATGCGGGCCTGCGAGGCCGAGGGGCGTGGAGGCGTACTGTTGGCCTTCGCCGCCATATGTGGAGGCGACGCTCATGGATGCGTTGGAGGAGGTGGAGAGTCTGCGACGAGAAGATGAGAAGAAGGAAAGTGGCCCACCACTTCCATTGCTGCTGGGGTCGGAGGATCCTCCGGAGGCCTTTTCGATATTTGCTGTTGTTAGGTTCGGGAGTTCGGCGGGGTTTGCCATGGATCGGCGGGTTTTGCGGATGTTGAGCGAGGATGAGGGGCGGATATCAAAGGCTGAGCCAGGGCGGGATACAGGGGTGGAACGGCCGGTGTTGGGGACTGGGGCATGTTTGTTCTGTGTGTAGTTGGGCGAGGTGTTGTTGTTGTTGGGAAGGCCACGGACTTCGAATTTCGCGTCTGAGACGTTTCGTCGACCGTGGTGGACAGCGTATTCCCGAAGATATTCTCCTAAATCGGCCCATCCACCGCCGACGCGCACCATGACTCTTTCCCCATCTTCACCAACTGAGCGGACGAAGAGTTTGAGAGGGGCTGCTTTGCCTCCGCGGTGTAAATGATACAATCTCACTGCAGATTCGTCATCGTGATGTGTGTGCGGGCGTCGCGAACGGCCAAAGGCTGGTGTCAGAGTGAGTGATGGCGTAGGGGTAGTGCTGCGGCTTGACATTGGGGATTGTGATCCCAAGCGATCATTTCTCGGGGTTGAGTACGAAGGTTCCGAAGCACGAGGGGCCTTTTTGGTAGTTTTTATACCATTCGAACGATCAGGGGTTGACACTAGGTGGATTCGGGTGGGAATTGTGGTAAGTATGGAGTTGATCTTCTCTTCTAATTGATCTTCGGGCGATTTAGGGGCATTAAAGGAAGGTGATATCACAGAATTGGCAGCCACGTCTCTAGAAAGAGTAGCACCATGGGTAGTTGGTAGTGTGTTTCTCTCTTTATGTGATGAAATAGATGTGACTGGACTGAGAAGCCGAGAAAATCGCTTGCTGGATCTGCGCGGAAGGATTGGAGGTGGGGTAGGTGTGTCTGGAGATGGGATAATATTATCTTTACTGTCTGAAATATGCACTGACGGTGACTGTTCCTCAGCAGTAGACGGGAGTGAATCTGACGAAGTTGATAGGCGTAGTCCACGGGGATAGTTGGGGTGCAGGCCTCTAGAGATATTGCTGATTCGATTTATGGATGATAGAGCGAGAGAAGAAACAGAACGGCGAAGATTTGGCGCTGGTTTCGGCCCATTTGTGGGTCCCATGCTGAGCCTGTTAGAGACCACGATACTTAGCAATTCAGTTTTTGGTGAAACCTCGATAGATGCAGAGGATGCCCGTCTGACTTCCTGTTTGTCGTTTGATTCATTGGGATCATCCATTTCGTGAACAGCCTGAGGATCTCCATCCACAAACCGCTCAAGAGGCAGGCTCATGGTCCGCTGCGCTGGAGGGCGAGAAGATGTAGCTGCTCCACTATTTGATTCCGCTGATTTTGTGCGCGACAGCATATTTCCACCCGGTCCAAGAGCCCAGGGAGCCTTCGACGCAGTTGCGAGGAAGCCACCAGGAGATTCAACTACGACGGGGCTGCCATGAGCTGTTGCTACTTGAGCATCCTTAATCTCAGGGTCGGAGATATACGAAAGCCCAGAACCAGGAGTTGAAGCACTGGAAACAATTGAATCTCGCCGTTGAACTATTGTTTCCAGTTTGAGGGCCTCTGGTTTGTTCTTCGTAGCTTTGTAGGGACCCAACTCAGCCGTCGTGGGCGAAGAGGATGTCGATAAATCAGTATTGTTAAAAGGCCTGCGCTGGCCAGGCGATGCCTTCGGTTCTGGCGACTGCGGGGAAGCTGGATCGGCATTCTGAGACGGCAACGGCGATCGTGGGAAGGACTGATTGGTACCTATGGTCTCTTCAGCCAAGCTTTGTTCTGCTGGGTTATCCGGAGGCTCTGGACTGTTCTCGGGAGTTTCGATTAACACTGAACTGGGCTTATTAGAATTCCCAGTCCCAGGAGTTTTGTCAGAAGCATGGTCTTCAACTAGTTGAGCGGCTTTTTCTGGCAACTCATCAATGCTCTGCTGGTTCATTAGGGGTTCAGCGGCGCCAGGACACGACAGGCTAGTTAGTTCTTCTCGGGTAGTAGAAGTTGTAGGCGTAGAAGGTAGCGCTGAAGAAGTGTCTGAGTCACTGTGTGTAGGATTCAGACTCTCCTGTGTGAGTTCCGTTTCGCTGGAAACCGCTGTATGAGTACTTTGGGTGCCCGCTTGGGATATGTCTTTCCCTGGGCGTTGGACTTGAGGTATCAGTGGAGACGAAGGGGGAGGAGTCCGCTGAACGTCCATCAGCTCTGGAGAAATCTCATCATTCGGGACTGGGTCAGTCTGGAAGGGTGTAGTGGGCAGCTCAAGTTCGATATGGATACTTCGATCTTCCATCACTTCCACGGAATTATCATCTTTGTCTTTTCGATCGTTCCCAAGCAAAGAAGTAGAACTCTGCGTTGTTGGGTTGCCTAGACTAGCCTTTTCAGGCATTTCAGTCTCGCTTGACTGCATCGAACATTCAGGCAGCGGCGGGATTGATCGCTTAAAATCGTTTTCGGATGCCATTTTCCCCGCTTCAAAAGCCCAAGTGGCGAACGCAGTTTCAATAGCTTCCATTTCGTCAATCCAAACATCTGGGAGAACATCTTCTTGGCCTTCGAGAGAATCAAGAATGCGATCCATCTTACTTCCCACGATTAATACCTTGCTTTCCAGCCTGTGACGAGCCGATCCAAACGAGGTCTTAGAAAATAGGGGGTTGTCCAGTTCTGGTAACAATCTTATTTTTAATCGATCTAATGCGCCATAAATGTCCCTCTTTGTGTTCCCAAGACCAGCCAGTAGCTCGGGGACTTGGTGTAGGACGGTGATACGAACATCCCAAATATTGAGGAGAATATTCAACTTGGAGAGGTATGGTAGTGCCTGGAGAATGTTAGCTGTTATTACTGCCGTGAAATCACTGAGTTGCACATAGCTCAGCGTGTTCGTGTTTGTGGACCAGGAGCTATTCGAAGATGACGGTCGGGATCGAGAGGGGATATGTGCGTTGAGGACATGTTCCTTCAGTTCCTCCACATCCAACGCCTTCATCCCAGCTTTTATCGCGTCAATCCTCTCCTCGTGCTGCTCCACAATGGCGGCCGGAAGACAGCCCAAGTACTTTTCCCAGCCATCATCATCATCACCATCACCAATGTAAACTCGACCGTTATTCGGCGGGATAAAACCCTTGCCGGCGACAGCATCTTGCTTCCGTGGCCACTCCCACGCCAACACCTCTGCATGCCATTGTTTCAAATTCTGCCCAGCCACTGCAGCTCGGACGGCTAAAGCACGCTCATCCCTTGAGGCTTCGGCAATGGCTTTGGCAAGAATACCCTCCGCAGTCTTTCCATTTGTTCGCATGGCATCGGTGGCTGCTAATGCCGCGAGAGTAGATTCTGGTGAAAGATTGGCAAGCAATGGATCCAAAGTGCAGACTAACGAAGTGGCATTTGGATCTGGAGAGCGGGAGCGGCAAGGAGTCGGCGACCGAGGGGAGGAGCGGGAAGGAGTTCCAATGTTTGAGGAAGGGCGGAGGCGGAGGGCGGGAGTCAGAGAGAACGGATCATCAGCCATTTTTCAGTAGCTAAAAGTAGCATTGCGGTTTGTTCAAAACGTCCTGAGAGAGGCAGGAAGTTTGGTATAAAGGGTCAGGATGGAGTCCGCGAGGAACGGGGCAAGTTCTGCATGAAGAAAGTTTCTAGATGAGTTTTTCCACATATTGGGTATGAAGGCTGCTGGATGGCTAGAAATGCATTTGCTTGGTTTATACCGGGACAACGTAGGACGTTCACTGCTTATGTCGCAAACGCAGATGGCTGGCGGATTGATCGACGGAGCGATTGACGGGCAATTGCTTGCAGGAAACTCACGCGGCTGGAGAGACAATCAGGGCACACCGCATCAAGAGGCGATGAGAAGAAAGGAGAACCGGTAGTAAAAGAGCGGACGAGACGAAGCCACAAATCGGAGCAAGCCAGTGCTCCCAACAGCTTCAGTTCAAGGGATCAGGATAATCGAGGTTGAGTCCTCGTTGTCGGCGTCGTTGTCGTGGCGTCGATGCAGACGTCGTGGGGAGGCTCCGCCGATTCGGGTTATGTAATTACGGCCTGGTCCTATCAACGCTGTCCAGCACATCCAGCGCATCCAACGCATCCAGACGCTCCAGGTCCCCTCGAAAGATGTTAGAGAGTGCCGAGCTGATTGGAGGCTGGACATTGGGCGCAGGATGGATTGTTCGCTCAGCTGCAGCTTAATGTTATTCTCTTCTTTGGGTATTTCCCGTCCCAATTAAAAACCAGCTACCGGTATACATAATAATAGGAGGTTGTGTCTATGTCCATATTAAAACATCCCCCTTCCCCCTCCGGAGCTCCTGTGTACAGTACGCAGTATAATGCGCAATCATAATGGACACATGCCGTGAGATGCGGCACATTCCAGCCACCACAGAGATCGGTAATGTTGCATTGGCCAGGAACCGCTGTCGAGGCCACGGTCCCTGGTGGAAGCCCAAAACGTACTATATTTTTTAATCCACCGTGGAACATGCCGCGTCCATAGTCAGCGTCGACGCTAGAAGAACCGAGAATATTGCCACTGAATAGTCCCAATAATGGATGTACAGTACAGTACATCATTATCGTGCTTGAGAATCCCCTTGCGTTCGCCCTCAACTTTTTTCTTCTTCGACACCAGCTTCCCCGGAACCAGGGGGAAAAAAAACCCCTGCTACACATACGCAAGAGGATACTGCGGCGATCTCTTCCAATCCCATTCGATCCTGCATGGGCCCTTGCTAGTTTGTAATTGAGTGAGTGCCGTTCTAGCTGCCTAGCATTTCGGGCCAAAAACCGGAAGAAATTTTGAACTTGACAGACGGGGCCGGAAGATCTTGAAGAACCAAAACCTAGCGAACACTACATTGATTTTTATAAATATTCCTCTTTCACTCTGAACTGACTTTTGTAAAATCTTCGCTCGTAGTGAGTAATTTTTTCGATTTTTCTTCTTTTTAGCTATATTAATTTGTTCTTTGTATCAAAGGTGTTTGAGTTGACGAGCCCGTACATCGGAACCCTGAGATGTCAAGAGTGTAGAATAATCTAATAATAAAACAACAATAGACAAGGCTCTGAAAGCCAGAGTCTTTAATTAGTTAGTAAAACAGGGATAGAAGGTTGGGTATCAAGCAAGCAGTAGCCGAAGAATCAGAGCAAAAACATTAGCAGGTTGATTTTCCTTGGAAAACTCAGGGGGGGAAAAACACATCAACACGTCAATTCTGCACGACAGCAAGCTTTTTCTCATGAATTGCAATGATTGCAATGAACGTCCCCCCACCACATAAAATCTAATCAATTGGTATTTCGACCCTTCCTCCAACAAGTGCTTCGATGTCCTTTATCAACTCGAGTGCGGGAATGGCGTATCCGTCTCCGGTGTAGCTTGGGAACGGACACGCGAATAGTAAGCCAACCCACTTGCCATTTTCATCAATTAGCCAAGAGCCTGAGTCACCGCTATCGCAAAATGGTACGTTATTGATCCCGATAACATGCCACGCGGATACCGTGCGACCATTGAAATTCACCGTAGTGTCGACATGGCTTAATGTTCCCGATGTCAAACCTGTTGTTCTGCCACTTTTAAAGACTATTGCTCCCTTCTCACAAGGTCCGCACTCCTCGACCTTTCTCGAGTCCGGGAAGAGCAGCGTTGGGTGAATATAAGGGGGAAGAGCGGCCAGTCCCTTAGACGTAGGTAACTAAAGTTCGAATTAATACACTTTGTGCCTTCATTATCGAAAGCATTTTGCAACTAGGGAACGTATATCATACCTTGTTCAGGAACGACCTAGAATTTGGGAGAGAGACCAGGGCCCAATCCATTCCAAAACCATTGCTGGAACGAAAACCAGAGCCAGCCCACACTGTTCCTGTGGCTCTATTGAGGTTGTTGAGGGCTTGAGCTTCGAGGTTAACGGCATCCATGCTGGCTTGGAGCTTTGAGAGGGCCCTCTCCTGTTTATCATTCAAATATTCCGTCCCTTGTTGCTCCTGAAGTTCTTCAACATGTCTCCTAACCGAATCCAGAGCATTTTCTATGATTTCCCGTTTGAAATTTGCGTCAAAGTTTGACGGAGAAACAAGGCCCACGTTGAGACTTGCAGCATGGTCTGGGGTCAACCCTGTCTCCTTGGTTCCTGCACATTTATGGTTAGAAATTGCCAATGTTTACGGTGGACTGTCTTGAGAGAGTCAAACCGTGAAAACTCTGATGTGATGCGACAACATGAAAGTTTGTAACTCCTAGCTCGTGAATCTCAATTCCACGCCGAACGATCAGCTTCCCGCCAAGAGACAATGTCGCTCTCGGCTCTGAGCTGAGTCCAATGCTTGCCCCGGGAGAAAGGTCTGAGGTCACCGCGAAGTCTCGGCCCTCGTCAGGATATCGAAATCCACCGGCCGCAAAAATAGTGTCCACTTGCACAAAACAGACCTCGATTCTGTCCAGATTGTATTGTTGACACCGGAGCTGAATTGTCCGCTTCGTATGTGATAGCTCAGAAGGATACTTCGATGTAATGATAATCGTAACTGGATTCGATTGAGCATTGTTATCATAACCCCGCCGAACCACCGACAAGCTGTACCAGCATAGAGGGGTTAGAACCGTGATGATATCTTTCTGGAGCTTCTGCCAGACTGATACAATCGGATGTTCGGGTTCGATGGGAAAGTGGGCAGGAATCTTCAAGCCATCGGGATCGTGGATCTCCACGCAAACTTTATCCAAAGAGGATTTTAGCAGATATTCTTGGGTGTCCTTCACAAAAAGGTACCAGGAGTCGTCTTTCACCGCTTGGGCCGTGATTATGATGGTGGGTCGCTTGTCGGAAACAATAGCGGAGGCACGGCGAGACACCACAACAACCGACACCCAACTAATATCCCACCGTTTGAGCAGAGAAGTGACCTCCCGAATGATGTCGTCATAGCTTACAGGAAATTTTTCATCGCAGGAGGAATGGCCGACCGGAAGAGCTGGCAAGGGCGCAGGAAATCCCAGTCGGAAGGGATTGCTGGCATCGATGACTGATGCCGTAGATGAAATAGAAGTCTCGGATTCCTCCGAGCTTTTCTTCGCGATCCGCTCGGCTGAAGCGGAGAGCGATGCCATAGAACCAGAGGCGGTTTAGTCGGTGGTCAGGGTTCCAGGGAATCCACTAATACGAGACCCTTGTGTTAAGCCAGGCTGGAACAAGAACCCTGAGGGCCCGAGTTGAGAGCTTCACGTTTTGCTTTCCGAACGCCCAAACAACGTACTTTATGATATAGACGCTGGTGGATAAAGGAAAACAATTCATGTTGCCAGAAGCACAGGGTGTTGACGCGGGAGAAGTTATTCACTTGACCCCTCCGGTGACTCAGTTGGGTCAACTAGGTTTGGCAAGAATACAAACGTTATCCTGCAAGAGCTTCTTCTGGCTACATATAGAGACGAAGAACTATAACTGCAACATAGAAAACAGATTCCCCAAGGAACCTCTTTGTTAATGAATTTTTAGCATACAGGGAGAAGTGAGACAGAGAGGAAGTAAAATCCTTGATGGACCAAGAGAATGTAAGTTCAAGTTGCTATCAGTGCTGAGTTGGAAAAGGAATTCATTTAGCGTTTAACCACTAACTAGTTAGCTATACGACAAAAGATCTAAGCAAGTGAATCAGAGGCAATGAATCTGTCTGAATACTGGATTTGATAGAGCTCTCCAAACGTCAATCAGATCATCAACAATGCTACCCGCTAAAATGAGATACTATCACACAAACCAAGCATACAAATCAAGCATCATCATCAATTCTTTCTTGTAAAATGCCTGCTATTTCCACCGATTGTTGGAGCTCCAGAGCTCTTCCTAGTTAGTGCTACGTAGAAATTTATAGTTACTAGTTGACTATTCTATGATTTATGTAATAACATCGAACATTGTTCGATATTACCACGTATATAATATTAGCAAGGTGGCCGAGAAAGTGTCGCCAAATGATCCCAGGGCTCTTCTAGGGGTTTATCGCCTAAAGTTTAACTGCCATTTAGGGGCTGAGCCCCCATAAGGTCTTCTTCCCTGAGACTTGGAATCATTAGCCACGTCCCCAGCGCTGACATTTCCATCGAGATTTCTTCGCATATCCAAACACTTTTTGCTCCACCCTGAACTTAGTCACAGCAGACAATAAATGGGTTTAGCTTCTTACATCCTCCCTACAACTCAGCGAGCAACATGCGCTTCAAAAGCCAGCTCAGCGACGTGAAAACCTTTGCCAGTGCGGTATCCACCCGACTGCCTTTGCCAACGAAATTCAGACTGACCTGTATCTGCAGAATTTACCGCCTCTTTATCATCTCTAGGCAAAATATGTTGGGTTCGACTGGAAGATGAAGCTGTCCGCTTTACGATCATCCCAGACCAGGGAACCCAGGTCTGGGCTCAGTTGCCAATTGTAGGGAACTTCCAAAAGATGAAGCACACAAGTGAAATACAAGAACAGAAATAAACTCATGTCTTCCCACGCCATGCTATAGGGCATAGTCTTTGAGTCTTACTCCATAAGTGCCGCCGCAGGCGTTATCAATCTCGAAGTCCCCATCAGTGCCCTCCACAGGGCTCTCCGCTCTGCAATAGGTGCAACCTCAGCTCAGCTGCGGTTGACCAAGAAGGGACCTGTCCCGTTGCTTGCACTGTCAATCGTAACTTCGTCATGGACCTCAGGGAAGAACGCCCTAGGTGTGGGGAACAGCAACAACAGCGACAACGGGATGCCGCCACCAGGCAGCACCACACAACTACATGGAAATCAACCTGACGGCCCTCGTGAACGAGAAACCATCATAACTCAAGAAATCCCCGTTCGCGTCCTTCTGCCCGCGACCGTGGAAGGGCTGCACGAACCCCGTTGCCGCAGCCCGGATGTTTTCATCGTTCTCCCCAGCCTAATACAGTTAAAAAGCATCTCAGAACGCTTTACGAAGCTAGCCATGGGCTCCGCTGCCAAAAGCATCACCAACACAGCGACGACGGGGCTATCATCCACGCAAGGGGCGGGGGCAGGGACTACCCACAGCAGTAGCAGCCCCAAGCTCGAGCTGTCAGCAAACATGTACGGCTCTCTGAAACTTGCTATCGCTACAGACACCTTGCGCATCTCCAGCGTGTGGACTGGCCTGCTGAACCCGCCTTTGGACCCGGCGCAGCTGTCTCAGAACGAGCTGGAGCAGCACCCCAGCGAGCGAATGAAGGAGTTGGGTGGGGAGAATGGGGAGTCAGAAGAAGGGTGGGCCAAAGTAAGGATTGATGGGAAGGACTGGGGCCGGGTGTTGAGTGTTGGACGGCTGAGTCCACGGGTTGTCGCGTGTAAGTTTCCGTTTTAATCATATCTACGCATCTGCGCTTTTTCGACCAGCTTCTCTGTATCCACTGTGCTATCCGCAGACACGGACTATCCAATTAGGCTGTCGAATGAATTCACGTTCTGCGGATGTGACAAAATCACCTCTCTTGCATCTCCGCACTAATAACCCGTGTCTATAATAAACCCATTAGGCTTCCTCCACGATACTGCACTGATCTTGTACGTTTACTTACCAGATAGCGGAAGTGGAGAGGACTCTTGTTTAACAGTAAGTTTTATATAACACTCCGTTGCCGTATATGGTTGCTGGAGATTCTCCCCCCCCCTCCCCACGGATTGGGGCAGCGTGAATTGCATCAGTCAATAACAAAACTGCGTCTCAATTTTCACAAATTTCTGACTCCATCTTTCTCCATAGTATTATATCAACTCCTACGCCGCTTGAGTTTGCAACACTATACTTACGCACATCCCCATTGACGCATACGTAAGGTAACACCCAATCTAGGAAAATTTTCCTATGTGCTTTACAGAGTACAATGGCAGTTTCACCTCTTGCTATTTCACAAATCTGCACCTTCGCAGGGTGGCTCATAGCGCTATGATTATAAATTGAAGCTCTGTGACGTAGCTAGATAGGAGGGAGAAAATACGAGCCCAAGTGTGGTTTGGGGTTCGGTGGAAAAAAAAAAAAAATAATAATAAATAAAAAATAAAAAATAAAAAATAACCCACCCTTCGTTCAACCTAGGATCAACCTATGAATACTTCACCATGTCACCCTACGTTTCACGCCAGCGATACATGCGCGCCACTGCGACACACGGACAGCCCGCCATCTTCCTCGATCGAGTCTTCCACATCCCAATTTTGGCCTCTCTTTCCCGCCATACATGTGAGATTTGCTACAACGTTAGCGGTCGATCATTAGTTTACCACCGCAGCTGTGCTGTGAAACCCGTAACTCAACTCGATCGCAATTTTTTTTTTTTCCAAGTCGTTAGAGTTGAATGCCAACGGTGCTCTGGTGATGGATATCGTAATAAAAGGGACAAAGATTAAAATAAATAATGAGGAGTCTTGTCTTATATCTTACTTATATCGTCATATAATTTCGAGACAGAGGGTGTATTTCTTAAACTAACACAATGCAATCAATCAACTGAACATTTCTTTTTACTATCACTTCCCTAAGAACCCAGCAAGCAATTTATTTATTTGTTAATTTTTTTTTTTTTTTTTAAAAAAAAAAAAATATGGGAGAGAGAAAAAACAAGCCAAAAATCCTCATGAAGTTAATTAAAATATTTGATGCAGAAAATTGCCAAGTAATATACAAGATGGAAAACAAAACAAATGAAAAAAAGGGGGCTCTCTCTTGTCTTTTACAAGACGGTTGGAGAGGGAAAAAAAAATGAGGCCAAAATAAGATAGTTCAACAACAACCTTGGACGAAAATGTAACAGTTGATGTGGGAAACAGTGTAGTTTTAAAAGAGGTGCGAAAAGAAGTATATAATAATGTAGTAAGACAAGGATGTCGCTAAATAGGGTGCGACACGTTGAATGCTCGAACGGAAAAAATTAAGTATGTAAAACATGCTGGGGAGGACAGAAAAGCGCCGATATTACAAGATATATATGATTGAAAAAGGGGGCTCATTCACGCAGCAAACTGCAGCGCGGAACGTGGGAAGGTAATGTAAAAATTTATCGGTTAGTCGATATATATAGTCGATATATATATAAACGGTTGGGTAAGGTATAGTCGAGAACGTTTCGAAGTAAAAAGGCCTGGCTGTTTCGATGGTCTTTCATTTCCTCGTCGTCCTAACGCAGCATGGGACTCATTTCGTATAGCTAACCGTGCAAAATGGTTCATTCCCTCGTTCCCAAGGACGAAATGGGGTTACGTATGTTCATTTGGCCATAACATCAACATAGCCTCTGCCCTTCTTCTTTCCGCGGACAGTGTTTCCCTTCCTAGCCTGCGGTGCACCTAGAAGGTCATCAATGGAGCTGGCATTACTTAGTGCAGTTCCTGGTCTCGATGGCAGCCCAGTCGACACAGATCGTTGGATCGGTAACGGGCTCGCTGAGAGTGGCGCTGCCGAAGACGGTATGCTCGGACTGAAGTTCCGAGGCGACGAGTCCCCAGCTGGTGAAGGCGACCGACTTGATGGGTTAGGTGGTGGAGCAAGGGTTGGAGCCGAGCCTGATGTTGGTAAATTATTTGCCAACGGGGGACCGGCGCTGGTTGAACTGGCGGATCGGCTTGGTGGTGCGGGACCTTTGGGAGGTGGCGGTGTGGAGTTGGCGGTTGTAGTCGCGCCGCTTGGGTCTTTTTTGTTAACCCATCTCTTCAGTTCTTTGTCATAGTAGAACGAATTCTCCTCTCCAAGTTTAGCTCGAATTGGACCTCCAGTGCTAGCGTTCGGGTCCTTTTTGCTCAGCCACGAAAACCACCCCTTTTTCTCTGCCACCGGTTTTTTGGCTACAAACCCGAAGAAACGTGGTTAGAACTGGGTTAATAACAAGGTAAAATGGACAAGACCTTACCATCTTCCTCTGCAGCCTTTTTAAATGCCTCGTTTGCTTCGTGATCCTTACGTTCCTTCTCAGCCTTCCTTACTGCTTCGTTACGAGGCCCAAAGTCGTCGTCATCGTCATCCATAAATGACTTTTTAGGTTTCTCTTTGTCTAATTCATCGGTATCAACAGGTCCGGGCTCATACGATGGGGGTTCATAGGTGGTTTTCTGGGTAGTGAG